TAGGCCTGAATCACACACATACACAAACAGAACCTGTGAAATGCATTAGTGGAGAGATGTCAGAGTGGGGCTGCTACACACTGCTAAGCAGGGAGCACACCAGAGTGGTTAGGGGTTTGGTACCTTGCTCAAGGGCACCTTGGCAGTACTCTCCAGCTACCAGACAACTTCCATTTTATGGTCTGCATCAGGAGTTGAACCAGCGACCTTCCAGTTCCCAACCAAAGTCCCTATGGACAGAGGTACTGCCGCCCCCAACAGACCTGTTTGTCTGTTAAGAGATCCAAGTTCTTGCATGCTACTGGTAAGTAAACTTTTTTCGATTTCAGTGTTGCGTTCTAACTTTGTCTCAAGTTGAGGAACAAAAATGATAAGATTGTCAGTTATAGCTGTTTGGAGGAATTTTCTTGATTTCTTTGGTCTTTTTGGACCTGTGAGAAGACGCTCCTGCTATATTCAGTGCCAGGATAATGCAAGATAATGCAAAAGCATATCCACTGTTTCCAGCCTTGTAGTTTTGTTTAGCAGAAACTTTCATGGAGCAAAATTTACCCATGGTAATCAATTTATAATTCATTGAGATTTTTCTGTGAATTATTACTGAAAACAATTTGAGCTTTATAAATGCAGCAACCTGACTGTTTAAAGGTTCAAAGGTGTGTTACTCACAGTGAAGCTACTATTCTTTGCTCTGGTGGTGAACAAGTCTTACCTGAGACCAGGTGGCTCCACTGATCCATGCAGTCTTGGTGATTGAGGCATGGCATCCATCCATCTTCTGGGGAGATTATCCGCTGCAGTGAGTCGTCTGTCTGTCTGGATGCAGAAGAAGTGAGATTCTCAAGTTAATCATCAAGCTAAGCATGTATGTCACTGTGGAGATGGCTTTGTTTCAGTTGTTTAAATTTCCCAAGAGAACAAGCATCAATGGAGCGTGAAAACCATAATGAATCTTTACACTGCAGTTGGTGTTGTTCAGGCATGTAGGTGGATTTAAGGATGAAGGGGATGGGGTGCTGGTTGAGCTCAGTTGCCCCATATACAGAGGCTGCAGTCTTCCACACATCGGTTGCAGGTTTGACTCCCAGCCCATCCAATTGATACATGTCTACCACCAACACTCTGCTCACATTATGTCATGTCTATCTTCAGCTGTCGTGTCCAATAAGGCAAAATGCTAAAAAAGTAATATTTGAAAAGAGGAAGGCGAACAGATATTAATTCTAAACTTCTGTCACGTGTTAACTGTTCTACTCCAGAGGTCTCCTACAAAATCTATATATGTAAATTTACAGAAATAGCTAATGTAACAATTATACAATTGGTGGATTAACCCATACAGAGCGATCTTGAAAGAGATAAAAAAAATTACCCAAAAATAATACGGAAAATGATCTTAAAATACTGTTTACTTTTGAAGACTATTGATTCAAGAGCATATCCAGACTTCTTTTTAATGAGGTGGCCAAACTGGGAAACTGACTTGTGCAGTTTGTGTACACATAGACACACTTTGCTTCTAACATTATATAATCATAAAGTTTTTATTAACATTAACAAGTAACAAGAGCGCTGCATCATATTAATCTTCTAAGCTTAATTCTTCAAGGACACAAAATATGAATTTCCATAGTCACAATTTAAAGTACTGACAAGGGGAAATGAACCACATTGAAATAAAATGAAAGTAACACCCTGGCAAAGCAATAACCAATCATATTAAAAGATTTTGGGGTAGCTCCTGGGTGGCCAACCAGATTTCAAGGATGGCCGAGGCCACTCTCTGCATCCACCCATGCATTAATTTCAGCATTTTATCACTTTACATCAGTAAAATCAATCATCATGTGTTTGGTAGTAAATACAAGCACCAGTAAATAGTAATATAGCTTGACACAATAACAAGATTGGTGATTCATAAATCCAGTAAAACCACTTTAAACACCCGGTATTAGCTTAATTGCTATACATGTGTTTATTTAGCCATGCACATCAGTAAAGTTTAGCCTGATTTTCTGTTTACACTTTTAGAGAATAAACAAAGAGATTTAGCCAACAGCACCAAACTTGGACATTTGGCAAAATCAGAAGAGGGCTAAATGTATCTTTCACCTGACAAGTACCTTCAGTGGATGAACACATGTTAAATGTTTGACCACTTCAATTGTTCATAGACACAGATGTTTCTAAATTTGGTAGCGATAAAACCAGAAGCAACAATGTTAATAGTGAAACTCGCCTAAGTGAGCAAATTGTTTCTCCACCTGTTACATCGCAGATTTTCAGTGAAATGCACAGCTCAGCTCCACGTACATTTTTTAAAACATTTTTGCTGAAATAACTCCAAAGAACATACTTCCTGATGTTTCTCATCTTTTTGTTTAGACTTTTGATGCTTATTGGCTGAACTGAAGCCACGTGATCCACAGACAACCAATGAATGACTGTCTGCCATTTCAAACATGAGCTGTGCTGCATTCAAATGTAACTGATGAGGTTGTATTTTTGAAAGGGGTCTTTGGTCTAATGCAAAAAAATCCTGTTAGTGAGAAACACAATAAAAAAGATACTTTCAATTTGTCTAAGCTTGGCCCTTCAACATAATGAATATTATACAAAATGAAATGACCAGAAAACCAAAGTTTGTCAGTTGTAGGCCATCAAACCAACAACTTTATGGGTGAAACGCTTCGTATTTTTGGTATTCTTAGCATTGAGGATAGGTGAAAAATGTTAAAATCTGTCTTAATTCACCACTCCTTATCAAATGAACATAATTTGTTTGGTGTACTTTTTAAGACAATCTTTTCCTTACAACAGGCAAACAGGAATACACACATGACTTGACATGCTTAGACAACTTTAGTTTCTGGTTAGCCTCGTCTGAACTTTAAAAATACTAACTTTTATACCAACAAAATCATTTTGTCAAAATTTCGATTTGAAAGATTTCCAAAGACATGTATAAGTTCTGGACATCAGCTTAGTAATATCTTTTAATCTTTACAACAAATGTGGCTGTGCCGAGAGGTCATGAGATGTAATGCAATGTCCCAATATGAATGAGAACACCTTAAATTGTCCTACAATAACACATGTTTAGATATATAATCAGGCTCAACTTAGTAGCATCAAAAAAGGCTGCTTAATTTACCTTAATATGATATTTATTCCTGAATATGAGTTGTGTGCTCAAATGCTCAATGCTTTTTCCTGCTACTATTTCATTGTTTCATCGTAACACTCTGTGATGTCCAACATGCAGCAGGAAAAAGAACCTGTGTGGACAGCCTTCACTATAACCAGCTCCTGTAGGAATCTGGTATCAGCTTACACATTGCATTGTAGAATGACACGCGACCCCAACGCTACCACTGGCCCTTCCTCCTTCTACTACTCTACCATCTCCTTCTCCTTCATTGTTCCTCTCTCCAAGTAGGTCAGCCATCATGCACTGTACACGCATATGTGACCCGAGCGCCTCGCCATCCATGATTCCAGACACGTTTCCCATTCTTCCCCAAACAACTGCCGGGTTAATGAACACACAGCACGGCACATAACGTCCCACCAAGCATTATGGATATCCAACACAGCTGCTGGAAGGCTTTCATGCAGAGCGGGCTAATGTTAATCATTTCCAACAGTGTCATTAAAGGGGCAGATGGAGGCACGCCAAGGATTCACCTCATTGGACTGGCGCTAAATTAGGCGGGAGGCAGAGAGCAGGCTGATAGGCTACCTGCAGACTACACAAGATATTCAGAAATTATTTTCAAATTGAAGCATTATATTTAGTTAAAAAATTAATGTATTTTTTCTCTATTTTATTTTTCTAATCAAACACAATACAAACAGAGTTGTTGACTGCTGAAGTGAAACAGCTAATAGCCTATATGTATGACCAACACTGTACCCCATGCACAGCCAACCTGTGTAATCTCAGGTGCCAGTTCGTTGCAGGAATATACAGCACAATTGGAAAACTATTAAATAATTTGTTGAAAATTACTTTACTGGGACTTATTTGCAAGTGAACTAAGCATTTTGCCCGTTGCTTCCTCAGGTTTGCCCAGTAAAGTGGCGACACACTAATGTACGAACCCATGAAATGTGCAAATATATTTGTTGCTAACCACATTAGCATTAACCAGGCGTTAGCATTTCTGCTAAGGCCAAGAGTTTGCATTGAAAGCTACACATTATCATTATCAGACTTCGGGACAGTTGACTTTGAATAAAAACTGGTCAGAACTGACACTTTCTTACTTAAAATGCAGTAAAACCCAAACCCAGGATGCTAATATCAGATTTAGGCTAGCTAGACGTTCTGTCCTTCTCTATACTAGATCATTTCCAATTAAGTTTCCTGTAAAGTTGACCTGTTATGATGTTTCCAAGTCAGTTATTTGTCCTCATTTTTAAATTGTTTCATAAACTAAAATAACACATCGTTTGAAGCTACCACTAAGTAATCAAACTGGGCAGAGATGAAGTTTGGGTTCACCTTTTATCTGTTAGCTTGACCTGCTATATAACACTGTGGTGGATGTTGGTTCCTGTATGTAACACATCAGTATTTAGAACCGTTCTCATGTGTCTGATTGCCATTATGACAGCTGTAAACATCAAAAAGGAAGCTAGAATTGTCAACCAATTGAACACAAAGCCGACTAGAGATTAGCTAGCCAGCAGCAAGTAAAATAATATGTGGCAGCAACTATAAGTCACTGTCACTGTGTAAATGAGTTTGAGCTCTGTCTGAAACCAAGCACCCATTATCTTCAAAGTATTAAAAAATTCTGTTGAAGAATTGACACGTTTTTATTGTCACTTTACATTTTCGAGGGTCTAATGAAAGCTTCACAGGCATAGCAACATTAGCCCCGCTAAGAGGGGCGGGGCTTATTTAAGGGGGCCTTACAGGGGTCAATGCTAACAGCCCCAAAATAACTTTTGTCTCATAATTATGAACACGAAAAGGACAAAACAAAATAAACTTTGGTATAAAATACTTTAATAAATAATAGGATTGTTCTAAGAACAAACAAAAAAAAATTCCACTAACAAACCAAGACTTTTACCAAAGTTTGTACAAAATAATTACAATGTTCTGCACATTCAGCCCCTCCTGTGGGACTAACACAACGTAAAAGATGAATTTTGGGCTTAACATGATTTGCATCAGTATTTTAAACAAAAGCATAACATATTGAAAACACAATGTCATCCACATATAGTGACAATATCTGACCTAATTTCCTCACTACCACTGTGCAGGTAATGCTGAACTTTTCTTTCTTCCTGTGTGTTCTTAGTGCAGAAACAGACTCTTAACAAACACTGAACAACAACCACAACAGTCAACAACATCAACAATAACACAACTTGTTCCCTTCATTAGACCAGAATAGAAACACAAGGAGAGGCAGGGCTAACAAGGAAACTTAGGATACACACTCATCCACTGCGGTTAGATTCTCATTCAAAACACACACTTTTGATTGTTTCTTTTATGACGGGGTCAGTGTCTTGCAATCGGGGGGGGGGTGTCATGACAGGGTTTTCATACTCGCTAAACACTGTGCTGCCCTGTGAGGCACCTCCACTGTCAACAGACTGTAAAATTTTGAATTTATAACTGAAGTACAAGTAAGCTAAAGAGGGACAGTGCTTTTAGGTGGTTTGAACCCTGTGATGTGTTTATAAAATGGTTTTAAGACCTGACTCGCCAACGCAGTCCAGGGATACTTTATTGTGTGCCATTTGGAGTCCCTAATTAAGAGCAAGTAGTGGATAAGGCACATTAGCAAGAGCCCCACATAACTTCTGATTTTAACAGTTAAGAGTCCCAACAAATGAGGAGGGACAGAAAATGGTAAAACAAACAAAAATAAGGACAGGCATCTATATTAAGCAACACTGCGACTATCAGAAGTGGCAAATATGAATTAACCCCTCATAAATCTTAATATGTGGCTCACTGTAGCGTAGCTAACTGTGTGTTTAATGTTCAAAGTAAAAAAAGAAATAAATTCTCGAACAAAGCTAAAATAATCTCCCATAGAATTGTTGAACATAAAAGCCCACATAAATTGAATTTGTTGGTGTAGAGGAGCTCTTGAGACATTTTAACACACGGGAAACACAAATAAAGTGAAATGATTAACAATCAAGGTATTATAGAAGTGTTCTTTTTGCAAGCAGTACGACCCATGTTAGATATGGATTTGTAGGTGAAGGGGGAATTTTTGAGATAGTTGAACCCTTAGAGAACTTAAATTAATAATTATTAATTAAAGGGGAATTCTTAGAGGTGGGGCAGAATCCCCAAAGCATCAAATTGTATTCCTAAGCCTACAATCAAATGAACAAGGCCATTGGACAGGAGGTTCCTAACAACCACCCACAGTGTTGAAATTCTTAATATCTCTGTGTTTGGATTCTTACAGCCTGAACAAATGGTCATAACACATAAAGACAAACAATCATTATCTGTTTGCTGTTGAAACCGATGTTCATGATTCAGTGAAACCTTAGAAACAGTCTGAAAATCTGTAAAAAACCTGTCAGAGTGTCAAACAGACACAAATAAACGGAATGACATCATTAAAAAAAAAAAGCAACAAGCTCAAAAACAGTCTTATTCTTTAGAATAACTATGATACAAAGCATCACTTAAGTTACTAAATTCAAATATAAACAGCCATTTTTTTCATATTTACAAATGTACATCGCAAAGAAAATAACCTTTCCAGGGGTATGAAGAGTTAGTACGAGGACATCTTTCCCTTTATATGTGATTTGAATCTGCATAAACTCTTAAGGAGGAGAGAAAAGGAGAAAAATAAGGGCTGAAGGCACTTTCCTACCAAACAAAATAGTGAAAAATTATCCTGTAGACATGTAGGAAGAGTTCTCTGAAAAGGATTTACGTAACCTTTAAGCCTGAACACAAAATGGAAAAGATCTTTGTGAATGTAAACAAAAGATGCTCATGCCAGCTATCAAACAGTGGATTCTCTGTTCTAACTTTCAAGGACTTGAATGGATATACATTTTTTTTTTCTTTTTTGTTAAGGTTTTTTGTTTATAAAAAGACAAAATGTGAAGACAGTGTAGAAAAGGCCCGCAGGTTCGGGCTAAGGCAGACAGGAACTGAATGCACCAAACAGTAGAAACAATGTTAACAGCTGCCAGCCAATGACGGTCAGTCAGATCTCCAAGGTCCAAAGAGAAACTAAAAAGGTTAGTGTTTGTTCTTTTAAAAGGGGAAAGCTGAAAATCAGTCCGTAAACAGAAAAATAATCAAGAGCGACGGGAGAGAAAAACAAAAGATCTTCTTGATTCCGAACGTGTGAAACTGAAATCCAGAAATCCAGCAGTGTTTATTGTTGTTGTTTTTTTCTGTAGTTTTCTTTGTTTTATAATGTTTTTTGGTAAAAGAAGCCTCCATGCTGAAGATGAAAAAGTTAAATAAAAGTGTGACAAATTAAAATAGAAAATTAAAGCATCTGTAATCTTCACTTTTGGTGCTTTTAAGATTCAAAAGTCAGTGACGTTGAAGACATTGAAGTTTATTTTCTTTATCTCGGGTGCTCATACATATTGGTCTTTAACGTCCTCGCTGAGCTTGGCGGCGTTCAGATTTTTACACCGGTTGTCTTTGGGGCTGTACGCCGTCCGGTGCGGCGCCTTGACTGGTCCGCTGCGTGACGTGCAGATCACCCCTACCTTACCCATCATCCCCCTGTCCTGCACTGCCCCAGCTATGGAGCACCTTTGCGGCGGGCACTTCTCCCCCATGCCCAGCGCCCTCTCCTCGTCTTCCTCCTGCTCCCCCTCCTGCTCCCCATCCTCCTCGCCCTCTGCCCCGTCGCACGTCCTGTCCGAGGGGCCCATCAGTTTCTTGCATTCGTACTGAATGTCTTTGTCGCGGTTGTCCTTGAGGGCGTTGCTCCGCAGCGGCTCCAGTTGGTTGTTGACCGTGGTGTCCTCGGATCGGTTCACTCTCTCGCGCTCTTTCTTTCTCTTACGGTTCCACCAGACGCAGACACAATGCAGAAGATCCAGAGGATGCTGAAGACCACGCACAGGACGGGGACCAAGTAACCTTAAGGGGAAAGCCAAAGGACACGTTAAGCCTGGCACAAACTTGAAGATTTTTTAAAACAAATACAGAAGTTCAAAACTTGAGAGACCCTACACCTGGCAAAAATAATAAAGGATATAACACTTTTGATCCTATAGTCTGTGAAGAGAAACAACATGACCCACGACTCTAAAATCTGGATATATCGATCTAGATAAAGTAAACAAACATGGACTACTTGGTGATATTTTTTGGACTACTTTTTACGGAGAATTCACAAGGAAAAAAAGTAAAACTATGGATGAAGACGTGGAGATTACTTGAACATGGGCTGTACATGTTACAGTGCACCTTTGAGGTGAGTAAAAAATAGATTTGCTGAAGTTGTTAGTTGTTAGTGCTTCCCTCTTTTGTCAGCTCGCTTCCCAATTGGCTATCGCTTTGTTCACATGACAATCCACTGAGTGGCTGCTTGGCTCTCTGTCAGGGTTCCTCCAACATAACTGGATATTGGATTTGAAATTGATTTGCCCGAGCAGATTGGAACAGTCTTAACACAGCTCACAATCAGCTCATTATGTTGAGGTGTGCACCCCACTTTAGAGAGGCATTCCTGTTTTTTGTTTTTTCTTGATATTATATATATGACATATTTAAGAGATTTCCTACTGAATGTGAAAATTAGAAACCAAAAATGTGACTTAAACTGCTACTCCTTTTAGCCACTTTGTCTTTTCCCCATTAAACAAACATGCAACATTCGACTTACCAACAGGCGGCGACTCCACCTGCGTCTCTACTTTGACCTCCACCACGGCCAGCATGACGGTGCTGTTGTGACGTTTGGACAATGCGCCAATGATGGTGCTGGCTGCTTTCTGGATCTGACCACGATCGCTGTCCTTGGACCGCCCATCCTGCTCAAAGGACTGCACAGATTAAGAGAAAAGAGGGGAAAGAAAGATGAGGTCAGATGTCAGTTTGTTTTACCCAAACAATGCATTTAACATGTTACTAAAAATCAACTTTAGTGCATCCACTTTTGATATTTATGAAAGCTGTGGGTCATAACGGTCTGGACCTGGTACGCTCACCCTCAGAAACAGGACTTACTTTCATTGACTCAACAATCACATATTATTAACATGCAGTAGAACTAATCAAGAAATGGAAAATGAGATGTTGACCCTGCTATCTCACCGGGCGGTTCATTTAAAGCTCCTGTGAGGTGTTTTTAGCGAAACAGACTGAGATTAATATTGATGCGTCTATCTTACCTACAAAAACAAACAAGACCACCAGAGGGAAGATTGATAATTCATGCTCAGTATTTTTTTTATTCTCGAAACCACTGCTGCAGGGTAGGTGTGGGACACAGTGATTAACTATACGCTTCAGAAAAATACTTTTTGTTCCATTTTTCCACAGCACAGTTTCACAATGAATGATTCGTTCAATGGTTAAAAAACGAAGGATGACAATTATCAGCAGAAAACACCACTTAAAGAAATAAAAATCAAAAGAGATAAGAGGTATCGTTTTGACCACAGGGAGCGCCAAAGTTCACACAAACCAAAAGTCCCTCACAGGAGCTTTAACTATTATGAGGATATAAAATGATCCCTTCAAATCTGGAAAATCAGTTTATATTTGTTGCCGGGCTGTGATTGGTTGGGTTCAGAGACAACTTTGCATTTATTATCAGTTGACACCATCATCCAATGGGGACCTTTTTTGAGTAGTTCAAGGATAATCAGACAACCGCTGTTAGTTAAATGATTCAAGACTGAATTCCCAGCTACAGCTACAGAAAAAATGTGACATTCAAGTCAATGGTTCCATGAAAGCCAAGATTATTATTATTTTTTTTAATTAGGGGAATTTTACTTTAATTTGACTAAATTCTTTGACCATTTGAGAAATGGAAATGGAAAATGTAAAGAGCAGCTGATTTGTTTGAAATTGGTGCAACCTGTGGAGGCTTAAAGATCAGTGAAGAAAAAAGACAAACCGGATTTAACCAGTACAGTAGAGAAAGAAAATAAGTCCCCATTTGCCAAATGGTCAGAGCCGTGCTCGAGGCGATTCAGGATAACAAAAAGGGAGAGAGAGAAAAAAAACACACATTCATGAGTCTGAATAAAAGAGATTCTCATCCTAACATCTGGCAGGCTGCGGACCCTCCTGCTGAGACCACAGAGGGTGGAGTTAATTGCCTAATAAGGTGCTGAGGGTGAGAGCAGGGAGGTGATGGGGGGGAGCAGAGGGGGATTAGCAGTGTGCTGTGCAGTTCAATTAGGACAAACAATAGAGAACAGGCCAGCTGTGCTCCCTGCTCAGCCCGAGACAAACACTCCTCTTTTCTTCTCCTGAGGAAATCAGCAGCTCATTCACACACCTCTAACCCCGCCCCCGAGGTGATTGACAGACCGCATCACAGCAACACAAGGCTGAGTATCCACCTCTGAACTATAGCATTCAAACGTATTCCCACATGCTATGCATTTTCTTTGTTGTGTTCACTCATTCGTGTTTTTAGGAGTATTTCATATTTGCTTTGTTGTTGTTTTTTAATAGCTGATAATCTATGGATTTACAGGACACAAGCAGAGAGTGAACAAAGAATCCCATGATGACTCCCTAAGAGTTCAGTTTGCTTAAAACTCAGTGTTTGGCATCTGAAAACTTTTCCTCCCACACCTTTCTGACCTCAGAATTTGGTGTCTCTCCAAACATTTTGTTTTGTTTTGTTAGTTTCATCTCTCTTTGACTTGGTCAGACTGGACATCGGAAAGTATAAAGGATTGAACTCTCTAACTTTCACTTCTCATTCTTGATAGAATTTATTCCATAACTATTAAAAAAACAACTTACTAACAGTTCAAAATGGTGCACTATCATCCGCTTGTGATTGATGGTTCAGTTGAGCCCGTCCCTTCTTTAGGTGTGGCTATTCCACACGAGTCTACATTGACTGTCAAGTTCTGAATGAATTCTTTCATCACATGTTGAAACAGCTGAATTATATTAAGTAACTGAATCAAACTTTTAAGCAAGCTTTGGGAAAATATAGAAAAAACATCAGCATCAGCTGTTATTATTCTATTAAACCTGCATACAAAGCTATTTTCTGTTATGCGTTTATTTTGTATTTTGTACCGTTTCAAGCATAGTTTGCTTTATTTACTGGTTGGAAAAAAAAACATGCTTTTATTGTGATTAACCACGGTAAAAGGCAATCGCCTTGGATCGAAAAGTTAATGAAAACAGGGAAAAGGAACGGTAAAGAAGTGAAATGTTTGATGTCCCAAGGTGATTATAACTGAACTGTCTGGGAGATTTTCAAAGTAAAATGATCCAAATGCGCATCGGTGACGTTAATTTCTGTTCTCTTGCTGCAGGAAGACAATCCGGAGAATTAACTATACGGTGAGCAATAAGGGACAAAAGTTTCACATGATTAATACAATTTAAAATAATGAATGCGTTTTGGACCATTGCGATTTACACGTTGATGCTTACATCCCTAATATAGACACAAGCTCATATTTAAGTTACATATTTATAGGACGCTCTTCAATCAGACGAACAAAACCCTCCTCTATCTCTCCCACACAGACACACACACACACATACACACACACACACACACACACACACACTGAGACATATTGAACCACTTGTTTCCCGCTCAGGTTGGCGACCTCGCAGCAGAGCAGCCCGATGATCAGCTTCAGGGATTTAAAAACACACCCCGAGCTTTTCAGAGAGAATAAACAGGCACGGCACAGCGGACTGGAAAGTGGCTACACTTAACGACATTACAAAGATTTTACCCACACTTGGAAACAAATACTGGCATTTTTCAGGAAAACGCGATGACAGCTAGTGGGAGTGTAGTTTATGTTTGAATTAAAATGTTGTTTGTAGGGTTTGGGTGGATGTCACGTTTGCCACTCCTTTTCCTGTATCTGTCGCTCAAAACAAGCCTGCAAACATCAGAGTAGCATGAAGTAATCCCCTTCTATTAAGAGCTTAGAGCCCTGAAGTGACTGATTCACCCCCCACCCCCACCCCGAGCCTGGGTGGCCGAGAGACACAGAAGGAGAGAGAAAGATGAAAAAAAAAAAGAGAGATGATTGAGATGGCTGAAAAAGACAAAGATAGATAAAAGAGTAAAGAGGAAGAGACTAGGCAGCAAATAAGAGCAGGAAACGTAAAGTGTATAGGGCAGGAGAAAAAAAGAAAAGCGGAAAGAAGATGTCAGAGGAAGAAGAAGAAGGAGGAGGGAGAGCATAGACAAACATCATCAAGGTGTCCCAGCAGAAAAAACAAAATCTCATCCAGATGTTGTTAAAAGCTTCAAACGCCCCTCCCTCTTCTTTTGCTCGCTCTTGTTTCTTTTTTTTTTTTTTTTTTTACAAATAATACACGATAGTGTTTGTTTGTAGGTTAACAGGTATGAGTGTGTGTTTGGATGCAATAATCACCATGGCAACCTCCACAGCATCACCGTTGGTGTAGGACAAGTCACAGAGGATAAGCAGCCCTCGCTCCTCGGCCAGCGTCTGAGTCACGGGGAGGTACCTCAGCTCTGAGCAGATGTTCTCCACAGTGGTGCCCTGTGACACACACACACATGAAAACACACACATGAAAACACACACAGAAGCGTGGATGAAACAGATTAGTATCTGCACTGCTGGCGAGGAACAATCAGCTTCTAATTCCTCCTGAAGTCTGTTTCAGATTCAGACAATCGGAGAGCTTTGCCCAGCAGGAGAGGGTTCAGGCTCAGATCTCAGATCAGTATCTTGTCAGGGTAATAGATTCATTTCCATTCAGAAAACTTGATCCAGATCCGCTGCAGGGGGGGGGGGGTTCAGGTTTCATTAGACAGTAGTAAACAAGGACAATTTGATGGGTCAAATCCAGGCTTGTTTTAGGACAGAGCGTGTCTGTCAGGCTGAGTGAAAGTTTACTGACTTTGTCTCTCTTTGGAAGTCTGGAATTCTTTTCTTTTTTCTGTTTCCATATATGAAAAGATTCTGTTTAATGTCTCCTTAAGATTGACACTTTTTGCAGAGTAAAACTCCTTGTCCATTCTCATGGCATGCACCCTTACAGTCTATAATTGATATTCATTCTTTAGGTACTCTAGGTACAAAAGTTTTGACTTGAGATTTTTAAGACATCCAAATTAGAGAAATCAGACATTTTCTGGAGTGTTTAATGGTCATCAAATCGCGGTTTGGGGGGGATATCAGTTCAAACGTATTGTTTCTGGCTTCACTTCTCCACAAAGAGGGAAAAGTTGAGGATGACATAAAGACGGCTTGCTGGTGTTCTTAACGGTCTTCTCAGCAGCAGCTCCTTCAGGGCTGATAAAATGTCTGTCTGGAAATTCAAAACAGTCCCCCCACCCTGTGCATTAAAAGTCATGCTTTGATATGTGATATGAAGACCACAAAGAGTCACGTCTCCAGTGTCATACTTTAAATATAGCTGTAAGTGTTAAAGCAGAGTGTGCCACCCATCATTTCCTCTACAGCTAGGCTCATTTTTTCCTCTTCTAATTATCCAGCATTTCCTTTTTACTACCCGAGGAGGTGGAAGAATTAACACAGTCAGAAACTGTGACTGTGGCGCTCAATCAGAGTTTCCCTCTGTGCAAAACTCAGGTTGAAGTGCTCAAACATTTTTCTTCTTTTGTTTCGTTTTGTAAAATATTTTGTGTTAAGAAAATCCAAAATACCCAAAGTTTAATTTTCAATTATACATCAAATACTCTTTAAACTCTTTAACATGACGTAACCATAGAAAGGCCCTCACCTGCGGCACTTTGTCTTTTTTGAAGATCAGCGTAATGCGAGCGCAGTTGTTGTCAAGGTAACCACTGTTGGGCTCACACTGAGTGTGCAGAGGTGTGGGGGGGTCCGGCGTCGAACACACACCCCACTGGTGGCAGGGCGGCGAGAAGCAGGTGAGGAACTGATGCTCCACGCACTCGTGACCTCCGGGGCAGGACGAAGGGTTTGCGTCCGCAGGAGGAGGCAGAGCTTTGGGGAGGAGGCAGGGTCGACGACCACAATGCACCTGGAGGGACACGGCTTTAGTGATTAGTGAAACATTGATGCCATCAGGAAAAAACAGGAGATGCACAAACTCCTCCTGAGAGTTGCAGATTAGCAGGTGATGGGTCATCGTTGTACATTTGGTCAAATTAAGGACTTTTATGTGAGTCTGACCTTGGAGCAGCGAACGTATCCGTTGACACACTGGCAGGCGTTGCAATCCTCCTCCCAACGACTGCCGTGAGGAAACTGCAACCCGGCATGACGACACGACTTTCCAAGACCGATGACTGGAAAGGATAAAAATTAGGTTTTCAGTTGTCAGTCTTTCCATCTAATACGCCTTAAAAACCACAACACTTCCTCCAATATGACTTCAATGTTTATTATAGATATTTAATAGTGCCTTTAAGTAGTTTTTCTGTGCTCACATTAACTGCGACCACACCACAAGTTCTGTTGTCACCTAATTTAAGGTGCTGAAAGGATCTTAAAACAAGCCGACATCTGCTTAAATGGCTAATCTGATCTCATAACTTATGACGGATATTCTGAAAATAAAAAATCACACCAGCCACTGGAAGGCTGCAGCAAGTGCAGGTTTACAGAAATACAAGCAGCAAACCTTCTGCCATTAATTTACATCTTGCAAGGTAACATTGGTTTTACTCGAGTAAAGTGAATAACACAACAACGGCAGCCAAACCAAGCATTCGGTTTAATGGCACTCACACTCGTGGCAGCGAGCTCCGGCGTATCCTGGAGGACAAACACAGCGGTAGCCGTTGATTTCATCCATGCAGGTGGAACCCTCGGCACAAGGAGATGACTGGCACTCGTCTATGTCTGTAAAAGAACAGCGAGTTATTACGTGTCACACCTGCAAATGAGTTTCCAGAGAACTAGCAATGAGTTTCCAGGAAACTCGTTGCTAGGGTAACTGGGAAACTCATGGCCGACACCAACACACATTTAAAATAACTATTTAGTCGATTGCTGATCCTGATCTTTCTTTCATAACGTCTTTGTGTTTGGTTTTTCAAGTGAGCTGTGAGCTTGTATGTATGTAAATCGGTGTGAGTAGTCCCTCTTCTTGTAATGTCAATGGAACATGTCTCACAAACTGCATATCTCTGATAAATCCCAGAGACGGTGGAAGACTCCCACACTGCTGACCTTTTCTTTCACGTTTGAGTCATTTTTCACATATATATGTGCTCCTGAAAATTTCTAGAGAATTTCAAGAGGACTCTTCCTGAAATCCTGCTTAGCTGGCTGTTTATACATGCACCTCACAGCAGGAGACCATCCCTGTCAGACAAGAGAGGGGGAGGGGAGGGGGCATCTTCTTACAAATGAAAAAAACTTTTTCTGAATCAGCAGTTTGGTACATTAGCTTTCAGCTACTGACAACTGCTGATGTCAACAAGGCACATTATAGCCGATGGGCTGTGGTGGTCAACAGGACCCCTTTGTGTAAACTGATACATCATTGAACCCCTACTTTAAAAATTTTGTTTTGTATTTTAAGTGAATAAACTGACTTTCTGTACCATTCAAGAGACAGAACTATCTGGATTCCTCCTAATTTAAACATTTCACAGGTCTTACTTGAATTCTTTGTATCTTTGTATGTTTCTCTTTCTTAAGCTTCACTTAAGCTGAGAAAAAAAACTGAGCCTTGAGAGATTTGAGCGTTACATTCAAACATCTTCAACAAGTGATGGAACTCTGAGAATCGATTTCTGCACAATGGCGTTTTTAGCAGTTTGGTCCGAAACGCTTCAATCGGATAACACTCCGCTTCTGAAAAGGCCTTTCTGAAGAGATTTCTCCCAGAAGGCCACGGGAGAGCCCGCTGACCCGTCTGACGGACCCCAGCTCTGACCCGGGGCTCAGCGTGGAGGGGAGAGGTTAAGACCGTCTTCCTAAAAGGCTTCCTAATCTGTCGCCCTGAAACAATCGGCTCACGCTCCCCCTGCCACGGCCTTTCACCTCTGATCCCCCGCCCACCTGACCCCTCCACACGCCTCCCCCTCTGGTTCCCAGGGACTCACTGATGCGGCAGTCCGGTCCGGCGAATCCTGGAGCGCACTCGCAGCGAAACCAGTTCACACCGTCGACACAGAGGCCGCCGTTGTAGCTGCAGAAAGGAGAAAGAAAGAAAAAAACATGAATTCACTGCAGAGCTGAGAGAGGATCAGGGAGAGGCTGTAAATAAGAGTGCCTTTTGATGTTTCTTCAAATTTCTTTCCTGAGGGGAAAACATTCTGTGTCTGTATGCAGGTGGCCACGTGCAAAACGATAAATCAATGAAAGTATGAAAGGACTAGCGGTGAACTGTATCAACAATGTGAATCTGTGTATTGACTACGAGTGAAAACACATCATCTCAATGTCATGAAAACAATCACGGAATGTCACAATGTATGGTCAACATGATCAGAATGATTGTGCAAGTAATGCAACAATAAAGTAGTTATTACAGCATCATTGCACCACCTCTGCTGGGAGGAAAAACTCAACAAACTCAAATGTAGTTACAGCTACATCATTTCTTTTCTTCTGACTAAAATGCAGCTCATGGGAGTTTTGTTTAAAGCATAACTGTTGTCTTATATGCATATTGGTGGCTGCTAGATTCTTAGGTTACTTCCTTCAGCCCTGAATCTGTCTCAGTTTGAGTATATATTTCATTCTGATTTCATTTATTTGTCCCATAGGCTCCAATATAAAGGTTCAAAAAGGTTTCATTGTGTAAAAAAAGGCTGCCAAATGTTTGAATTGTCAACCCAAAATCCTGCAGAAATTCATTAAAAATTAAACCCTTAACCGCGTCTCATCTTCTCCACTAAGCTACATTAAACTTGAACATACAGCCACATTTTTGTAATTTCTTTAATACAAGTGTATATGGTAATAAGAGTGTACGTGGTGACGTAAAATATCATGTGACAGTCTCTTCACACGTGGGCCAACAAACCACTACCCACTGGCGCCACAGGATTTGTGCAATTCAGTGTGCAGGAGTTAGCTTTTAAATGTCCTAAAACTGGATGCCTAGGACTATTTTTGTTGCCCGGTATAAAAGCAGTTAGAGGTATCCTTTGATTTTTTGTTAGTATTGTATATACGTTCAATATTCTGGTATTGTGTGGCCGTATCAGCTTGTTGTATTTTTATTGAAAAGTAAAGAAATCCCCTTTTTGGTGACTTTTGCAGGTTCTGTCTAAGTTTGTAACTTTACAGTATTTTTCTTCAACATGTCAACATGACTTTCAGGTTTTTCCGCAACCCTCCCAACTACAACTCACTACAGACATAATACTACACTGCTGTACAAATAGCTGTGAGGCCATTTCATTGACATCTTTGGTGTCGGCCTCAATTTCTTTCCTCTGAGGTACAAAATCTGAGACTTTTATTCCCGCAGAGTTTCCAGAGGCTGTGAGTGTCAGCAGGCTGAGGCTGATCCCAGATCAATGTCCAGACTTCATATGTAAATCCCTGCTGACCACATACTGAGCCGTCGCCCCCCCCCCAAACACCTCCACTTCTCACAACAACCCCCAGGTCGAGGCCGGTGAATAGTGAGAGGGGCGTCTCTTCACACTCTCCTGCCCCCCTCTCCTAAAACCTAAACCACCGCTAATCCACCTGTCAGTCATTGTAGAGGAGGGTGAGGAGGACAGAAGGGGGGGGGGGACCCTTTTGTCCAGGGTAGCTTCTGTGATCTAGAGAAGCTGTCAGGACACCGTGGATTTATTCAACAGAGTTATTTGTGTCATGTTTTTTTCAATAAAATGTTAAAAAACTAAAAAAAGAAAAGAAAAAAAGGTCACAATAACTCCAAATGATGCATTTAAATATCTTGTTCTGTCTGAACAACAGTTCAAAATCCATAAATGTTCCAATACAAAACTTAACAATTAAAAGATCAGCACACACAATAACAAAGATTCACTCCTACCCATGTACATGTTGAAGTAAACACACCTGCACTGACACTTCCACACACAGTCTTCTAAAGGAAAATCCGAAGCATCAAATCAGATTCGCAGGATGACAGCAAAGTGTAGGAGTGGCTGGGAAACCCTGTAGCTTCTCTGACACTCAGATTGAAACAATGCAGCACAAGTTGCTGGAGTTTATCCCGAGTTACTCAGAAAATATGCAAATGTAAACCGAGCTAATGTTTCGAGTTCAAAAAGGAAGGTGAGGATCAAAGCTGCCACCCCCAGCAGCAAGAGGCTTCAGAATTGAAGGCTGTTCAGCTGAGTCAATTTTAAGATCAAGTGAGGTCATGTTTAACTAACAATTACATAACAGAGAAAAAAGTCCATTTCAGCACCAAAACAGACAACGAACTTCATGAAAAATGGAGAGGGAAATGGTTTCATCTTGTGGAGATGCTTTACTGAAGGCCTCAACATCCAAAAGATCAATCAAAGATGGTCGATATGCAGGCTATAAATGGTGAATCCCAAACACTATCATTCAAAAGTTATGTTTAAAGTATCTACAGATTGTTTCAACCATGCCACAAAACAGCATCTTCAAACTTTAATAACTGTTGGGCTTCTTTTGAACATGCACTGGACTGTCCACAACCAATAGTGGCCATAAAAGAGGAAAAACGTTTCTTACCAGGGATGTGGGTTGCAGTCGTCCACATCTGCAAGAGAGAGAGAGATAATGCATATCAAAATATATCAAATTTCACTTCCTGCTTTACTGAAACCAGGTTGGCAGCCATCTTATTTTGCTGTTTACTAATAGGGCTCAGCAGTGTACAGTCATGGTAAATCTGCCCCATGTGTATAAATGGTTGTGATTGGTTGGACAAAGCCAACATTGATGAAAATCTGACTGAACTGGAGATGAGACCCATCGCCTGGAGAATAAGAACACAAGCTTATAGGTTTGTCTTCTTCGCAGGCTACTGATATATCTCCCTCCAACACGAAAGAATAAGGTGCTGAAGTCACCATAAGTCCTCTGTTTTGGATTGGGGGCGACATAAAAATGTATTACAGGCAAAATCCTGCTAACACTTCAAACTAAAGATTTACTTCCCCAAGAGACACAAATTAAAGCCATTTTAAAGCTCCTGTGGGGAACTTTCATTTCCACTGTAGATAAGGTGGTATGTCTTTTTTGTCTTTGTCTTTATTTCAACAAGTCTCACCCTGCTTTTTTAACACTCCAATGTATGACTCATGAAGAATATTTGCTGTGGAGAATGTTAAGACATGTCTGTTTCAGCAGCATGACACCTACCCCCTGCTAGCTGTTTCTGGCATTAAAAAAATACATTAATAATGTAATCAATCTTGTGGCTATTTTTTTCCTTTTGTGTGTCATATAAAGACAGTAGTTTCATAACCAGCTAAAATTTCTGCATAGTAGCTTTAACATTTAAAGAGATGGAAAGCAATGCTTGTATGCCCGAGCACTGAGTGTCTGTTTAGAAAGGAGAATAAAGGCCTTTGTCCACAGTCAGAGTTTTTTCCGTTTCAGAGGCCTTCTCACCAGCGCTCATTGGTGCTATGATCCAAAAGTTCACTTCTGCTTCCCTCGATATTGGACATGCGGTCTTACTAGGTAAGATTTGTCCCGCTGTTGATGTACTGTTTTCAATTAATTTTCTCCGAATCATACGGACGGGCAGACATTTCAAAGGTTTCCTTCACATTAAGTCCACATGACTTGATTTCTGAGGTGGAGAACCTTCAATTGATCTGGAAGTTTCAGGCCTTGTTGCTAACTAGCGAGCCACTTACAGCTCATGTTATTCTCATGAAATGGTTAAAGGCAAACATCTTGTAAGAACGAAGACGCTGAGCAAAGTAAGCAGAAACAAGGTATACTAATAAAGCAGCAAGGCTTCAGTAAACCTGTAATAGTAATAGTGTTAAAATCAAGCCATTCATCGGTTTGTATTACTATTTTACTGATCAGAGGCCTCGCGTGTCAATGCACTCAAATCTTTATCAATAAGATCGTTTACTGATTCAGAATGGATACTCGTTACATCACTGTTTTTTGCTCAGATGTAAATATCAGATTTTTTCCTATCTCTACCATCTCTTTTGATAAGAACAATTACATACTCTGTGCACAGGTGGGACCCTCCCAGCCGTCTTTGCAGATGCAGGTGAAGGCGTCACCTCCTCCAACACACGTCCCACTGTTCTCGCACGGGCCCAAGTCGCATGTGCTGTTTTTGGCTAAAAACAAACAAACAAAAGGAAGGTTCCCTTTTATGAAACTGTTTTTTTTCTCCAACCAGCCCTCAGTGGGATAGCTGCTCTTTGGCCTGTGGTCCCAGTGTGACAGGTCGTAACAATGTACTGCCACATTGTTTTATCACACTGTCATTATCAGAGCCGTAATAGCATAATTAGAGTGCCTGACCTGTGTTGCAGGTGCTGCCACCCCAGCCTGAGGGGCAGCTGCACAGGAAAGAGTCTCCGTGGTCGTAACATGTCCCTCCATTACTACAGGTAGTGGAGTCGCACTGGCTCTCACCTGCACAGAGGAAGCATGGGAAGAAAGATTTCAAACTTTTGACTCCGTGCCAGTGTTTTGTAGCGATTACTTAAGCTGCAAAAAGTGAGTTCAAGAAGCCGTCAGAGGGTAAAACAAGCCAGCACAGCAGCCGGTGAGGGCACCATGCTTCAAAAGATTAAGAGGTAGTCAAAGAATATAAGACCTAACATGTTGGAGAATGAGGAAACTGAAGACAAATACGCCATTCATAAGGGTTCTGTAAGCCCTACTTGAATTTTTGTCCTCTCGATTATTGGGGACACCAAAACAATTTGAATCATCTTTTTTCAAACTGTTGAAGAATTGTTCGAATTAATCGTCATTAATCTAAGCCCAACTTAAAGTCACAGATGTCTTACACACAGAGACGTTTTACTTACGTGAGTGGCAGGTCTTCCCTTTCCAGTTGTCGACACAGTTGCAGTAGAAGTCGTTAAATAGATCGACACATTGGCCTCCATTCTGACAAGGGTTTCTGTTGCACTCATTCACATCTGGAACACAATCAAACGATTAGTCAGCGCTGTTACTGTAGATACTGATTTTATTCATCGCTGATAACACGTATTGCTCAATTCTACAAATTCCAGGAAGCATAAAAATGACTAAAACTGTTTATTGATGATGCCCTGAAATATAAATCACCTCACATGTAATTGCTCATACAAATACATACTCATACATAAGTAAAAAAGTAAAAAAATAAATACATTTGAAGAGGCATGGGAGGGAGACAAACAAGTACAAACTTATTTCAAGAAGAACTCTACATTTTGACTTAAGTCAAAACAAAAGCAAAAATGTATTAACAAAAAAAACAGCTATAAGCTAAGAAAAGTTATAAGCTATAAAAAATATGAGCTGTTTTCTTTGTCTTTTAAACATTAGACTACCCCTCGTTGATAGTAAAAAAGTTTAGGGTTAAAAAATTATTCTAAATTAAGAATTAGAAAATAGTCCATTTGTTAATTTAAACTGAAAAGAATGGTTCATGTGTATTCTGTTCTTTCTCTTAATAGTAATATAAGTAAGAGTATCATCTGCAAATTTGCACACTGACCAATCTAAGTAACTTTAAGAATATGGTAGTTGAAGAACAGTTTTAGAATCAGTCAGCTGTTTAAGTTACCACATTTCCGCCTGCTTTCATCTCAAAAACAAACCCCCCATTGTTTTATCTTCCAAGAGATTTTCAGACTGATGACCGTTCCTCTGCTGCTGTTGGCTTTTCATGGATTCTCTCAACACTATATCTGACTCACAGACAGTATGACTTTGCACGGCTTTGACATAAATCTTGTATATCTTTTTTGTCGCTCACATTTATCCAGATTTCTCAGTTACAAGAACACACTAAGATGGTTAAACACATACTCACCAACATCACAAAGACTGCCCTCCCAGCCGTCTGGGCAGAAACACTGGAAGGAGTTGATACCATCGATGCATGTGCCTCCGTTCTTACAGGGGGATGACGCACAGTCATTAATATCTGGAGGCAGAGAGGGGAGAAAGAGAAATGTTTAGCTATTAACTCCCTTATTTTTTTACTTAAACATACAACTTTTAAAGAGGCTTCTGAGAATCAGAGAAAAAAAAAATAAGTCATGTGGACATTCAAACCAAAACCACAGTGTACTTGGAAGTGAAAGAATTTCTCTGCACAAAAAACAATCTCTCTGAAGGATTTTTCCTGCTCATATCTTTCCCAGGATTTTTTTTGATATCTTTCCCTTTCTGCTTCGACTAGACTAAACTAAGACAGTGACGATTAGTGGAACTGGAGTCTGCCTTACCGTAAGAATCATGTGCTTCCCAGTGAGGGTAACTGATGATAAATATAGTCTATGTGTTGTTCGTAGAGCTAATAACAACTCACTCTCGTGGCAGTAGGTGCCAGTGAATCCCGGCTCGCAGGAGCAGCTGAAGTTCCCGGCAGGAAGGCTGATGCAACGTCCGTGGGGGCCACACACATTGGACGAGATGTGCCACACCCGTTTCTGGGTATCATTGGTTGCCACGGCAACAGTGCAACTGTCAATCACTATGGTAGAAAGAAGAGACAGCAACATCAGGAGGGCAGAAACTTTGGATTTAAAAGATATATATTATTTATTAACAGATTTTTTTATAAATATATATTTATAGAAATAAAAAAAAGGTGTTGTGTTACCTTGACACCTGTTGGTTTTGCAGTGGTCTTTGAGCTCTGAACAGGTTTTGCCCTCGTAATCATCTGGGCAGCTGCAGTAGAAATCCCCCATGAGGCTGTGGCACTGAGCCTTATTGGCAGGGGTTCGGGCTGCATGGGTCATTCTGCACCTATAGATGGGAACAGGGATGTTAAGACATGTTATTCTTGCCAATATTAAAAAATAGCTGATGTGAATTTTGAATAGCTTTAATCATCTGGTCTCACCTCACAGGTTGTGCCAGCGAAGCCCTGCAGGCATTCACACACGAACCCATCCAGCAGGGCGTGGCAGCGGCCACCGTTCCTGCATGGACTGCTCGCACAGCGGTTTCTCTGAAGCTCACAGTGACGACCAACGAAGCCTGCCTGGCAAACACACTGGTAGCCTCTTGTCACCTCCTGGAACAAAATGGGAAGTTAATGAAAACTCTTCAAGATCTGAGTGGCAGGTTTTATTTTAGGAAACAACAATACATCCTCAATACAGTCGTATTTTCAAACGATCTCTTATGCACTTTGTGTTTATGATGATTTTCCAAATCAATTGAGGTGGTTTTATCCACATTTTGTTCAAAATGTTAAATAAAAGTCCTTAACATCTCAGATAAAGTATCTCAGTTTAATTTGTACTTGCTCACTTATATATATATATATTAAAAACACAATCAGACAACGCATGCTGGTAATGTTTCACAACCATAATACCCTTAAGCTTATTCTTTTATGTCCTGACAGATACTTGGAGGATCAGCACTAACTTTGTTCCATCTCTATTAAAGTGTCATGTAAGCAAAAAAAAAGGTAAACTTAACAAAGACCTTGGTGTTCTTGAAAAGCTTTAAAAAAAACCACACAGATTAATGTGATATTTTCTTAATCTTACCTTGCAGGTCCCTCCGTTCAGACACTGTCCGTGGCAGCTGTTCATATCTGAGAAAAAAGCAAATAAAAATCACTCAGGTTTGAGTTTGACAAATTGGGGATTGGAACATGCATTGGTGCCGGAATATGTAGCAGCTACAGGAAAGTGGTGGATACAACAAAAGATAAGAGATTCATGATAGATGAAATGTCAGATGTAGATTTAAAGGTGCAGTTAGAACATGCAATGAAAAAAAAACGGCAGAAGTCGGAACTAACCCTTAAGATATTCTCTTAAAGGTATACAACAGAAAGAAAGACAGTCGGTTTTAGTCTACTAGCTTAGAAGAGTGAGGCCAGGGTGTGGAAGCTTCTAACAGCCATCTCAGGAACAAGAGAAAGGAATGAAGCGCTAAAAGCCTGAATCTTTTCGCTAGCTAGCCTCTGTTCCACAAGTAAACTAATATAATAAATTTTCCTCTTCCAGTTGCAAACATCATTCTTGTTGGAAGCCAAAATGTTTCTGTGGTTTGTGATATATTTTCAGATACGCTGGTGAAAACCCTGCATGGGAAAAAACAAAAACCAAAAAGTCCAAAAACTTTGTTGATAGCTTTCAACAAAACTGAATTTTAATCGTTTCATAGGACTGTGGCTTACTTAGTCTCGGTGCATTTCATAGGATTAAAGAATGAAACTGTTGCTAAATGTTTTATTAGAATAAAACAACAAATTTGGTAGCATTTAACCATATATTGGCCTATAAATGGGTTTAAATCATTAGTATAATACCAGCAACCCATGGAAGCTGTAACATCAATGAATGTGTGACTGTACTGCAGAGCACATTTGAGCATATTAGCATTTTCAGCAAATAAAGCTTAAATGTTTTGCTAGTCCTGTGCACCACATGGATCTTAGCTATTAGCTATTTTAGCAAAGCTCCATAGGAGCTCCTGTAATAGCCTTTAAGCCCATAAAAAAGATCCCACGGTTCTAGAGAGTCTAAATTAAAATCTAAAACCTTTGAAGAAAGGATTCATCTGACAATGATGTCCTGAGAAAAATGTCCATACTGTCAAAGCCTCATGTCCTCATGTAGGAAAATGTGATTTTGGCAAGTAGCTTTCCAATGCTTACATTATAGGAACTTTTTCAGGTAAAATTTTAAAATGTTCAGGTCTACAGTCTAGTTCAATATTGAATTCATGTCAATATGATTGAGAAGTGAGGGTAAAAGAAGCTAGTGGAACAGAAGCTAGCTAGCAAAGATGACTTCGGCTCTACCAGATCTAAAGGCAGGTTGGAGAGGCTAAAGTCTACTGATTTGCTGCGTTGATACTAACTTATGTCACAGTTCTGGCCCACCCATCCACGAAAGCAGGCACAAAGATATCCACCAATCAAGTTTTTGCAAGTGTAAGCATTGAGGCAAGGCTTCCCCGAGCACTCATTAAAGTCTGCAAAATGGAGACGAGACACAAAGACAATGAATGAGAAAGCTGAGAGCCTTCTCAGAAACCCCATCACCAAGCATAGCTTCATATCAGAAAAAAAAAAAAACAGTTTGAAGATGATTTGTTGTTTATTTTCCCTTCACCTGTCACCATTATTGTTTGGGGTTTTTCAAACAATGGTCCCAATTACAGAAGTGTTCAATGGTGACTGTTACAGACTGAGAAGAGAACCATGACTTGATCCATGACTCAATTTATAATCATGATTAATCCTGGGGGGATATCTCATCTAACACAAGGAGAATATATTAAAATGATATTATAATAAAAACATTTCATGGGTTATTTGATTCATTTTCTCATAATTTTGAAATCATCATTAAATGAGGAATTTATTGTGCAGAACATTTGAAGTCTCCAATATCCCTGCAGTGAAGTGAAGCCTTTCTCAATTAATGTGGCTGGGTTTAATTACATTACTGGTTGGATTGCTTTTATGAATTTTATGGGTAAACGAATAGGGGTCCTCTCTATGTGAAACTGTGCCAGAACATTTACAGGCTAAAATCCACGTCAGACAGGGTTTAATTTCTTGCACTGCTTTCCATTGGCAAAATGTTTTATCCCCACCCTCCTCCATATGGGTTAATGTCTCTCTATTGCATTCCCTAAAGCCCAACCTGCAGAATTCCGAGTGGTCAGTTTCAGAGGCAGCTATCCCCGCCCTGTCATGCCGCCTCGCTCACTTTAAACCGACACAGTGCATTAGTACTACTCCCAGGAGGTAGGTGGCACCTGTTGGACTGCTGAAACTGAACACCCCCACCCCTTCCCCAAAAGCTCAACCTTCCCCGACAACCACCACCCAACCCCTTCATCTCACACTCTTCCAGGTACCACCCTACTCCATGAAAGGGGGGTGGGGGGGCTCTCTGAGTATCTGTTACACAAACCAAAGCTTTTTGGTAGCATGTTTACAGGTTATAAAGAGTTTCCTGGCTGTAGTTGAAGGTGGCGAGGGCTCCGCTAAGCCGGGGCATCGCCTCAACGTAGTGTACATACTCCCTGGTTACGCCCAGTCTGGAGCCAAAGATAGCCCCCCAACAGAGTATATGTGCTCTCAAGGCTAGCAGTTGCCAGGCGGGAGGTTATTTTTAGCTTTACTCAAGTCACCTGGCTCGAGTTGCAGATGATACCCGAACGAGTGTCTCCGTTGGGCGTGCGTATACACAAATACACACACACACACACACACACAAACACACACTGAGTTGAAATTAGTGGCCCTCCTGCAGAAATACTACTAGTTAAACGACACGGCAGGATAAACAAACAGACAGGTATGCTGTTACGCTGCAAGCAAATGGGATTCCTGGAACGTATTCATACAAATGGCATACGCAGTAGACACATACAGCCACACCCAAAACACACCAGCTTTATCACTGCAAAGTATCATCCAGCATGCATCAATGTTTCGCATCAGGGCAAAAAAAATAAAAAAAAAAAAAAAATTAAACTTGATCAACACATTTAGAAGATTCCCTCAAAAATGTTCAAAAAACAAAAAACAAAGGACCTACAACCCTGCGATATCAGCGAGCATGCACAAGTGACCCTTACCTATCTGGCAGGTCTTGCCCGTCCACTGTGGAGGGCAGAGGCATTCAAAGCCGTTCTCCATGTCGATGCAAGTCCCGCCCTGAGCACAAGGGTTGGATGCACATTCATCTGTGTCTGAGATACAAGTAAGAGGATTATTTAGACCATTTTCACTTGGAAACTTGTGCAGTCAGATGTATATATCACACTGTATTAAGTGGGCTATGACCTATATACTAACTAATATATTAAATGCTGTGACATGTGCTGTTATGAACGAAGTGCAGCCGCCACCCTCACACACTGCATACTACCTAATTGGTTGAAAATGTGCCCTTATTTATTGTGGATTCATGTGGTTGCTTCACTGTGCAAAATACGCCGGGACACTTTTTTTCCCCCTCATTACGTCATAACTAGCATCAGTTTACACCTCTTTCCCGGTAAGTAGTCACCTTGAGCACAGGTCGGCCCAGACCAGCCAGCAGGACAGTGACACTCAAAGCCAGATGGGACTTCATGGCAGGTCCCCCCATTGGCACAGGGGTTGGACACGCAGGCATGCTCAGCTAGAGAGAGAAATAAAGAAGACAAAAGTAGGAATAAGAAATCTGATCTATCCGGTAAATTTATCCCATTCCTTAGAACTTTGCCTGAGACCTGACCTGGCACACAAAGCCAGATGTTAAACCTGGTTTTTCCAGTGTTTTTGATTGAAAGACTCACCTATCTCACAGTTCTTGCCAGAGTACCCGTCTGGACAGGCACAGTTATACTCGTCTGGCTCTGGGTTCATACACGTTCCTCCGTTCTTACAGGGCCGGTTGGTCCCGCAATAGTTCAGATCTGCAGAGCAAAGAATACTGATATGACCTACTCTGTGTTTGTGGATGTATATCACACGGTTATTTAATGATGCACAACTTGAGCCAAGGACATCTCAGGGAAGGTGAGTTTGAAGGGTTATTTTTTTGTACAAAAACATCCCTGAATACAAATGCTTCTCATTGCAGCTCAATACTGTTTGCCGTTAAAAATATAACAGCCGTACACAATAACATTTTCAAAAAGGCTCTGTTTCCTTTGATTTTCTTACAAAAGCTTTGATTGTGGGTTACAAAGAAAACAAAGTAAGAACATATTTACAGAAAGTTTAATTTTGACTCTGGTTCCCTGCATGTTGAACAATGACAGTGTGTCTTCATCCAGTGATTTCGTAAGCCCCCTATACTGGAATTCTGAAACACTTAACAATTACTCAACTGTTTTGCAAATCATACAGTAGTGTCCTTCGAGGCCAACCTTTTTTTCACTCTTTTCAAGTTGAGAGATGAATCACATTTCTAAATCAACATTGATATCTACAGTGTTTTTTTTTTTTTTTTTGCTTTTTGTGAAACATAATGAGAGATTCAAACATCACTTTAAGGCATCTGACCTTTGTCGCACAGGAGGCCTCCCCAGTTCTTCTCACAGGTGCAAAGCCAGGGCTCACTGCAGGTGCCGTGAACACAGCCGGGATACGGCAGACATTCGTCACAGAGCGGACCCTGCCAGCCATAGTTACACCTGTAACACACAGTGGACAAGACTGTCAGCTTCATGTATATTTGTCTTCTTCTTTCCTTTCCACGGTGTGCGTTTCCTTTTCTACCACCTCTGTACTTCATTTGCATTCTTCTTTCTAACCTTCATTAGCTTCCTTTCTTCTCTCCTGCTGTATTCCCGTTCTTTATGCCTAAATGTTTTCTCACTGGTTAAGGAAGTCTAGCACCTTGTACTACAGATAGATACAGGAGTTGCGCACAAACAAAAGCAAAAGTGATCTCATCCCTATGACAGTATTTTGCGTTTACTAAAACATGTTTAATACACTTCAATGGGATTGTTTGCTAGCATCTTCATTGCTTTCGTGGCAGTTAAATACCTCAAGAATTTGTGCCAGCTATGATAATCCAAAAACTGCACACAGAGAGCACAGTTCAGCGGGTGCATCCGGGGGCTGACGAGGTTTGATTGTAAAATAAATACCTCTTATTTCACAAGCACAAGTGATGTGTTCTTTATTTACAGCTTCAGCCTGAGGGACTGTCAGGGATACAGATGCACTTACCTTCTCACTCGGTGGGAGTCAGCAATGGAAAACGGTGATAGTTACATAGTGTTAACAAACAAGTGATTTAATACGTGTACGATTTGTGAACACACAGAGGAGCACGTGCCAATTAAATGCCCCCTGGTAAAGATGAAGAATGCCTTTAAGTGCAAAAAAAAAAGGAAATACTGTATCTACTATAACACCAGTTCAAAAAATAATAGAGGACTTTTTAATGCAAATGTTCACAAACGAAGTCCAAAAACACAACAAAACGTTGCTAGAGTTGCAGTTCAACGTCTTCATTAAGATTATGTTAGGACGCAGAGCAAAAGTGACATTCCTGAGTGTGTGTTTTTGTTGTGTGTGCGTGCCTGTGTGCGTCTCATCATGCAGCTTACAACACATGCAAACATTTGTGTTCATTTGTCATGTACTGTATAAGTGTCACTGTCAGAGACTTTGAAAAGGGCTAGTTTTACACTCGTCAGGTAGGTGCAGGGCAATAACAAAAACAGCAGAGAGGAAGGAGATATTCCCGCACACTTTCTCAAATTACACAAAAAGGTTTGATTCATCCAAACGTTTTTGACCTTCTTAAAGGGATAAATTCTGGTCAAAACGTTGTGATTAATAACAAGTTTTTTGTAGCATTCGAGCAAGTGTGCAGGCATATTTCTCCTCTCCATCGTCATTGACTATGCATATAAAAAACAACAACTTATGAAGTCATTTTTATCTTAATTGACTCCAAAGAAATATCAACCCTGAAGAGTTTTTCTTTGCATTTAAAAAACACAAAGTCTACCATTCCCAAACAAATGCATCGACACATGTCTGGTAAAAATCATCTTGCTGCAAGAATTTTCCAGCAGTGACTTTTTTTTTTTATCTTGCTACAACAAAGTCAGTGTTAGGATGAAGGAGAATTTGAGAAGTGCATGAAACAAGCTACTTAGGAATGGATACATGCTGCAGTGGCAAATCTACCGCAGCGGATGACAACTGTCATTAACAATTCACCCACACTGCAAAAACACAAATCTTAGCAAGTGTATTTGTCTAATTTCTAGTCAAACATATCTCTTTTAACATAAGATAGACCTATGTCTATCTTCATGTCCAAGATCTCAGGTTAGCATTCTGAATATGTTTGCCGTTTCTTTTCTTCTCATCATGTCATGTGTTGCGTGTCCTCTCCCAGCCCTCTTCCCGTGCAGTGAGCTCTCTCTCGAGGTCACACTTGGAATGAGCGGCGAGTTTCTGGAACGAGGGTTAGTCGTCTCGAAGGGGAGGCCAGAGAAGGGTTAGCTAATCTGTTGGTTTATGGCAGCACTCTGTTATTCCAAGGCCAGCGGTAACCTTGCCCCACCTGTCCTGTCATTTCTCCGTCGCGCCGCTATTTTTAGGGAGAACACGCCCCTCCCCCCTCCTCCCCCTCCTCGCCACCACTAAGACCATCTTCCCCCTTCCTCTACGGCCCACAAACACTTCAAAATGGATGCCAACCAAACCCTTACCAGCGGTGATTTACTTCTGTGTAGTGAGCTGTAATGTGCTGTGGTAAAGTTACTCTGGTAGCTGAGGACAGTGACAGACTGATGATTTCAGGCTGGTGCAATTGTGCATTCAACCTCAGAGGTTTCTTGGAACCATGTGTGACTGTGGCACTAAGAACTATAAACTTTCAAACACAAACAGTTAAAATAGAGTGACTGATCAGACTTGCAGTCATACAAATCTATTATCTGACCAGTTCCTCATTCATAACAAGATTTTAGCAGTTTATCAAGGCAGATACTTTTCTCATAGTTCATTGTTAAATGTATTATTTTGGTGTATTTAAGTAGTCAGGTGTAATAAGTATACACTTAAAAGCTCCTGTGTGTAGATTTTGGCACCCCTGTGGACAAATTGGTACATAAGCTGATGTTGTCCTTTGCATGTGTTTCTGATGAAAAATCACATCAGTCAAACATATTAATTGTAATGGGAATTAAAAAAATATATATATTTCTTCAGGTTGCCTTAAATCCACTCGTGTGACACCAACACATTTAAAAAATAACCACACAAGAAAGTATCATTCCTCTTGCTGATGGTTGTATTTGCTTTTGTATGTCTTCAAGAGGCATCAGCGTTAATATCAGTCTGCTTTGTAACCAGCAACAACAAAAAAAAAAAACAAGGGATGAGGGATGAATATCATCTTGTAGAAGCAGCGTCGCTCGGCAGTATTTTGATCCAGGAAATTGAACCGAACAATGTTTGACCACGTTTAGCACAAATTATGTGGGTGTTAACCTACAGGGAGGACGGCTGGTGATGCTAGCACTGCTAACGTTAGCCACACTCGGCTGTTCAAACTGCATTGTTTACCTGCAGACAACTTTAAAAACATTGTGCTCAATTTTGACTTATTTTCTGAAAGTTTTCTTGCCTTTAGACTAGTCAGTTAGTCGGTAATTAATTTTCCGTTTAACCAAGTTGGAAATTAGTTGCCTGGAAACATCCCCACTAAAAACTCCTTGTAGCGTTAAAACCAAGACTCAGAGTCCACAGAACATGCTAGCTAGAAGCTCTGTGAGCTAACCACTAACATCTGCTGGCTAAATTTGTCAAAGTGCTGATGCTACAAGAAACTCTTTATCTTTCACTATGTTGTTCTAGCCTGTTGATATGCTAAAGTTTGAACTTTTGCTTTAAGGACAGGATGCAGCTGAAGATAACCAGAATGTCAGTTTTGCAACAAAGTACTGTACAAATTGAAACTCTGACCTCATGTTGGCACTGGATGTAATGTCAGGGGATCAAACAATCCAAAAAATTTAACCTCCGGGGTCCATGAATGTTTGTGGCTTAATTTGATTGCAAAACAGTGAAGTACTTGTCCCAGCACTCCACACTTTTTACTCATATTAGTGACGCAAAAGGTTTATTGATGCATTGCTTTTAAAGTTGATACAGATTAGAATCCTGATTAAATACTTTATCTTTAACTGACTCATTTTAAGGGGATGATCCATGTAAACTCGTCTTATTTTATAAATATGCCTCTGAACCTTTAAAACATTCATCCAGAGCTTTGAAATTCATTAAAGGGCAGATACTGACGAGAAGACTTGCATAAGAAAAATGCAGCCAGGCCCGAGTTCCAGTGGTGTTAGAACATGCACAACAATTTATAGTTTACGCACAATTTCTAAGCTAGGAAAGCTTTAACTGCAGGCACGGCCTCAATAACTTTAATCTGATTTCATTTGGTGAGTGAAGCCCGAGAAATGTGAGTGTGTGAGTGTGAGGGATTTTGTGTGTGTGCGACAGTGCTGTGTATTGTTTACTACAGTATGTGTTGTTGTCCAGCACTGCGGTTGCCAGTGGTGCCCTGCACACTGTCAGCCGTGCAGCCGTGGTGACAGCGTGGACAGTCTGTCTGGCTGCAGTGTGGGAGAGCGGGGAAAATGGTTTCAGGCAGCCACAGGCAAAGGGTGGCATTACCCACAAGCCCCGTCGCCGGGCCCGCTGCCGTCCCATCAATGGAAGGGGCCATACGGAGCTGAAAATATCCTGCCTGCCCACAACCCCCGCTCAGACAAACCACACCCTGGGGACGGAGCAGTGGGCAGGGGCAGAGGTAGAGGGGGCTCAGTTTGTGTGTGTGTGTGTGTGTGTGTGTGTGTGTGTGTGTGTGTGTGTGTGTGTGTGTGTGTGTGTGTGTGTGTGTGTGTGTGTGTGTGTGTGTGTGTGTGTGTGTGTTTTTGTTTGAGTTGGACCACTGAATTATTTACAGGCAAGCCTCGCACCCAAATCCAGTGGACGGACTTAGCCCGCTGTTGCCTAGCTACATGTTTAGTAGTGTCACATGAGGGAGCGTAGGTTGTGAATGCGCTGTGTGTAAGAAACAAGATACCAAACACACATTTTTTTACTTTTCCTGTGCCAGCCTCAGATGATTTTTTCTCTCTCTCCCTCTCTTTTTCTCAGTGATTCCTTAAATCCTTCATTCTCGGTTTGTTTTTACCAAGTTTGCTTCTCTTGTGCACTTAAAAAAAAAAAAAATTCCAACCCTTGCTATTAAGTTTAAGATATCACTTTGATTTGATTGTTTTTCATGTCCCAATTTTATATTTGAGGCCAAAATTTCTATCAGGTCTAAAAAACGTAATATTTGGTGTAGATAGAAATTGCTAAATATCTACTTTTTTTTTAGATCTGACTGCGACCTTATCCCCTTTGTACCTAAATCATTCAGACCCACTGCGACCTCTGTTGCTAAATTTTCATCACATTGGCTTGTGTTTTCGCTTGCTACACATGACCCCCCATGGACCCATATAATTTGCTACTTCTTCCTCTCCCCCATTGGATTATTAGGAAAAGGGATTGCAATACAGTTGCAATGTTTTCTCTTATTGATGGTGCAATTTGATTGTGTGAAATGATTTTAAAGTTGTTTTAGTAGGAGTTGACTTGTTGAAACGCTGACATTTTATGTTGCAGCTTTGATTTATGTGGACTGCCCCCTTTAAATCAACAACAAAAGGCTTTTATTCCCTCCTATTGAATAGATGTTATCCATCATCTTCCTCTTTCTCAACAGTGTGTGTACTGTATATATGTGCGAGAGAGTGTGTGTGCGTGTGCGTGTGCGCCCTTGATTGCGATGAAGCTTCAAATCACATGTTCAGGCACATTCCAGGGTGTTCCTCTTGCTTCCATTCCTCCGGCCATTACCAATGAAAAATGTTTCTCCTTTTTTACGAGATCTTTACTAAATCAAAGTATTAAACCTCAGTATTAAACCCTCCCCTCTGCCACCTCCTCTTTCCTAATACTTGTTACTCTGTGTATTTGTGTGTGTGTGTGAGTAGTTTCCTTTTTTTAAAGCTTTCATGCTGCACTGTGTCTAAATGTACAGATGATTTCCACATATAATCTAATCAAAATTTCTCTCTGCTTCACATAACTGCTATACAACAAATGTTTGCTCAGCCTTTTTTTTAAATGCTCACAGCTCGCTGTGCAGAAATATTACAGATCTGTGTTGGCTGTCTTTTTTAGCAGCCTGTTTGTGGGGGAACAGGCTGCATTATTGGGGGCTTTAAATGGTTGGGACAGCTGAAGACTGACACTTAATGTGGAGAGAGAGTGGGGGATGACATGCATTGGGGCGGCTGTGGCTCAGTCTTCATCTCTCAAGCTGAAGGTTGAGAGTTCGAACCCCAGCTCCTGCTACATGTCCGATGTGTCACATAACCTTGATTTGCTCCCGCTGCTTGGTCGGCTGAGTATGAATGCGGATTTGTTTCTTCTGATGGTCTCACTACATAGCAACCACTGCCATCAGTTTGTGAATGGGTAGGTGTGACATGCAGTGTAAAAGCGCCTTGAGTAGTCAGAAGACCAGAAAAGCGCTAAGCAAGCTCAAGTCCATTTATTGAATAGTGTCAGTATCCTGAGTCGAACCTGCAGCCCGCGCGAAGAGGTTCATGGGGCATGTTCTGCATCCCTTCCTGCCTGTTGTCTGCAGCTTGTTGGATGGAATCTACACAAGAGTTGCAGCCATAACAAGGCTCTGGATAGGAAGAGGTGATGTGGGCTGCAGACATGAGGGGCTGTTTGGAGGGGACGGGGGACAGGGGGGGGTACACAGTGCCTCTCTACTGCTGGTGGTGGAGGACGAGGAGGAAACATATAGCAACAAAAACAGGCCTCTCTATCTCTGTGTGTATGTTTTCGGTTTGTGTGTGCGGGCAAGAGCAGGCCAGCTTTAGAACAGGAAGCAGAACAATAGCTTCTGGATCAGAGTAGAGCTGAGGGATGGAGGAGGAGGGATGGGGGGGATGTAGGGGGTTAGCATGCTTGGTATGTTATCAACAATGCCCTCCGCCTCCCACAATGCCTCATCACTTGGTTGTGTCACCACTGTTACCCTTCTGAAACTCTTAAAGGGGGTCTCCATACAAAAAAGCGCATTTTACATCACATACATCACTCGACAGCCACATTGTACTGCGAACACAAAGAAAGAAACTTACAATAGTTAAAACACTGAAGGGAAGTGACTTACTTGCATTCTCCCGGCACGCTACACGTCCCATGCTGGAGGCTGCATCCTAGTTTGCAGATGGCTTTGTGGAAAGCAAACAAAAAAAAAGTAACAAGTTTGTGTTAGTTCCTGTCCAAAATTCATCATCATTTCATCAGCTTTTTCTAAACAATAACATCAAATCTTTTACAAGTTGCTGTCTGGCACGTTGTGTTGCAGGTGTTGATATCATTAAAGACTCATTTCCTGTTTTTTTTTCCTTGTTTGTTGAGCGGCAGAGAATCTCTGCAGTGGTAACAATGGATGGTAAAGTTATTGCTGAAAAATTAAAGGTGACGAGAGTTTCCAAACATTCTTTGAATTGTTGCGAGGTGACACTTGACATGCACGTCAATGAACTCTTCAACTTTTCCAGTAAATGGCATCAAGGAGGTAAAAACACAAAAGCTACATCAATGTGATCCCACACATAAGAAAAGTGTTGTGTTCATTTTGTCTGATTTATTTATGCTTTCCTTAATCTTATGGATAATAGTTTTCATATGAAGAAATTTCAAAGTACAAGTCTTGAAAGAACAAGGGAAGAATATGTTTTGGAAGTTAAGGTAGGCTTTTTTTATTTCACTCATATGAAGCTATTGTTTTTTTTTTTTTACTAATTTATAATTTTAACTTATCAGCATTTTTGTAAGTTTATTAGGATACATACATAGGAAGAATTTGTAGAATTGAAATATAATATTTCAAACATCTTCAGTTTGTCGCTTACAAACAGTTAATGTGTAAATGATGGATCCTTATTCACATTTTTGGTCTTTGCATTGCTGCACATGTTTACAGAGTGACTGAAGTCTTCCTAGTACCTGTTTTGCAGTCGGGCCCCGTCCAGCCCTCCATGCACTCTCTGTTCCCAGACTGGTCACACACATAGTGGCCGAAGTAGTCGTCTCGGGGACGGCAAACTTTGTTGCACTTGCTGCCGTAGTAGTGTTCGTTGCAGCGTACACGGATGGTGTACTCAAGTCTGGCTATCAAGCTTTTGTACTCCACCGGCTGCTTCTCCTCTCCGGGGTTGATCATCCCCTTGTGGATGCTTCGCTCAATTAGCAGCTCCTCATCTGGACATGAAAGGAAACAAATTGAAATGTGTTAAAAAACAAATGTCTGACTCAGGTAAGTTTTAAAATGGTTTGCTTAGTCACAAATGTTACACCTAATAGCTTTGTAGACTAGCATAGCACATATAATGTCATATGCTTGGAAGTGAAAATCGTTTTCAATGATACAATGGGTCTTTGTGTTCCATCAGAGGAAGATAGAAGAAGCAGTTTAATTCTAATTTACTCTTTGACCAAATTCACCTGCTAAAAATGACACTTGTTGACCCACGTTAGCTAATTCGCTAATTTTGCGATCATTTGCAGCATGATTTAAGAGAACTCTGTTGATGACTTATGAAGGGTTTTATCTGACTTTTTGTGCAACTGTTCCAAGCTTGATAGACATGCCGTGCTAATGCTAGTTACAGATGCTAATCTATAATTGGAAAATCTTTCAGGAGAGGGGTTAGTCAAACAGTCAACTGACTTAACTGCTACTTTTTCAGCACAAAAGAAATAATTTAAAGAAAGAACACAACACTCGACAGGTCAAGTATTTGGGTCAGCTTGATAGTAAATTGTAAAAAAACAAAACATCTCTGAATGACATTCCATGGAGCAGGGCTGAGTGTGATTACGGGATTTGACCCAACAACCCCGTGTTTAGCGAGATAAGACAGTCTATGCCTGTTGTTAACGCACATCAGAGGGAAGGTGTAACCTCCGGTCAAACATCCATCTGCTGCACACACCAAGAATGTGGAAGAAGAAAAAAAGAAGAGGAAAAAAGATGGGAAAGAATAGGAAAATTTAGCAAGACCAAACAGAGGGTGTAGATGTGAGGTCTGCGAGGGCTTGATAACCAAAATGCTTTTTCAGTTTTCCTGCTTGTTGAAATTCTTTTCTGTCCTTCACTCCCCCTCCTTCTTGCCACCCCCTTCTCAGGATATCCAGCCTCGACTCCATCGGAGCCAGGCCGGAAATAATAAGAGACGGGGAACAGACAAGGAAGGGCGACATAGGAAAGACCCTTTAGCTTGTTCTCAAGGAACAGAAGAACCGTGACCGAGCAGGCTTTGCTGCTGTGGCTTTGGAGAGCTAAAGTGTGACCTGGACATGACAGAGCTGGAAGGAAGTGCTCATCGTCATCGCTCAAAGCACCAACACAGCCAGAGTTCTAAGTTTAAATCCAATCAGGATAATGCAAGAGAAACACTGTGGCCAGTAAATTCTAAAATGCTATACTACAAATAATATGTTGCTTCTGTAAAAAAAAAAAAAAAAGTACCTCACACATTGTGGATGTCCTTTCAACTCTTCCTACTCTTGTCTCTTTCAATTCTCCTCTACTGTTCTTTATCTTAATGATGCCGGACAGCTTTGCCTACCTTTCTGTCATGATAAATATTTAGAAGTGAGCCTTTGGTGAGCAGTGACAGCAACACATTTCTAATAGAGGTTAATACTTAAAATTAGCGCAAACATTAGCATAAGGAGATACATCTAAGCCTATGAGAACTAGCTTGACTTGGTATTGACAGTTGCATAGCTGTATCTATCTAAAGTTGGCTAAAGTTAGCTATGCTAAAACATCCTTGCACTAGCACAGAAATGGTTTACATTAGCTGATATCCATCAAGAGTTTTTGTCAAAGTTAGCTGACATAAGCTTCGTAAGTTGGTTGAAAAAACTGTCTCAGGCAGACAATTGTTAATTGTAAAACTTAGCAATTAAGTAGCAACGGTAAAAAAAATTCAGCTAGCTTCAGAGTGACATCAGTTTGAAGTTTGCTAATGTTATCTTACAACAGCCAACAGTAAGCTACTGAACATAGCAAACAAAGTCGGGCTTGTATTGGTTTAACTTTTTATGTTTGACAGAGGATTTGTTTTTTGGTTTAGAAATGAAAAGTCTATATCTTGAGCTGAATATGCACAGACTGTTTGCATTATAATTTAATTCTGGTTAAATGCTCAAGCCTTTTATCTTATCAGTTCGTACTTTTCTTTTCATATTAGGCTATTTGCAGCTAATATTTGTAGCATTTTTACATCCATTTCAACGTCTTTATTTCTTTGTTTTGAGTGAGTTTCTTTTTTTCCTTGATATCTAAAATGTTCAAAGTCTCTGTATCAATCAGTCAAGCTAACTACCTAAACCCTCTTGCATACTTTAATATTCTCATACAATAGTTACTAAACTTTTACACAGAATGCAGAATGAGAATCCATTTTCACTCTGTCCTGATTTACCAAGTCTCTCTGCGAGCTAACACACTGCCACAGATTTCAGTCCCACACCCACCACCTGAAACACCCAGGCACTCACTCACTGCTGTTCATCTCCAGCAATTAGATATAAAAATATAGACCAATCATGAGCTCTCTCTGTACTGGAAGAGAAATGCGGAGAGGCCGTTGTTACTAGGGAGAGCAGGAGCGAGTGGGCCATATAAAACTGGCTTATATAAACAACGAGGGGCTTCAGATCTGAGCAGCTGATCGTGTCAAGAGCTGCATGATTGTCCGTGTGAAAAGAAGATTTATTTTTTCAAACAAAGTGTGACCGTTTCTTAGTTTATAGTTCGAGGCTGGAGTGTTTTGTTAGAGGGCTCTGACACTTCTGCTCTGATCTTTGACCTTCTTACAGCTTGTTGCTTGTAACAGTGGTGATCTTTTAACTGAAGTCAAGGCCGAATTTGCACTACAGGTTAAAATATTCCAATTCAATTTGCTTTACATTATATGAGGGTTATCAAAAATATGCAGTCACATTTTAGATGCCATCTAGACGTAATGGGTGCTTTCTCAATCTGCAACAGGTCTGTTAGAAAAATTCAAGTTAAGCATCTTAATACTTGTAAATGGTAACTGGACTTGAGCTTGTATAGTGCAGATCAAACCTACCCATTAACACACCTAGAGCAGAGGCTGCTATGTAAACAGTCCATCGGTATTAACTCATTCATACACATTCACACGCTGCAGACTAAGCATGTGGAGGTTGTTCTTGCCTTGTGTCTTACTTGTTGGACATGAGGCTGCAGGAGCTGGGGATCAAACCCCTTACCCTCTGGTTGAGAGACAACCAACTCTTCCACTGAGTCACAGCTGCCCCTTATTTTAAGAAATATATGCATCTAGTACAAAGGCCATTATTTAACTTTTCTTTAATTGGCAATTCAATTAAGTGTGGCTTGGAGCTTTGAGCTGTTCAACCAAAAAGGGATTTCTTTTAATTGACTGAATTGTTTTGGTTACATAATGGCTTGCTGTGTAAAATAACCAAGAAAAGCACACCTGGAATGGGCGGCACTCCCAGAAAATAGGGCTCACATAAACACGGATGATAACATGGTTGTCAAGGAGCTATCATGTTTTGGAACTCATCTTCCTTCAGGGGCTCAGCAATACATAACTGCATACACTTAACGCATTGTCAAGCTTTTTTTTCCATAAAAGAAAGTCGGTGGAGTTAAGTGCATCAAACACTTAAAAAAGTGTCATGGAAATTGTAAGGAACAAAAATTGCACTTAATTAACGTTCAAAGGCTATCTTGTGATTGCCAAAACTTTATAATAAGTAATTCTATTGCTTCATATAGTTTGGCACACAGTTGCCCTTCAGTAAAGCAAATTACTTAATTTCCTTGGCTCACGTCAACCTTCGTCATTATACAGTCAGGGTACCACTTTACATTTTTAATACCCTGCAGATTAGAGTTGTTAGTTTGTGGTAAAAAGATATTGATCAATATTTGACATAGGGCTGCATGGTTATTTTCATTCCTATGATGCGGAAGTGATTAATGTAAAAATCGAGATTTTTATCTTCTGAGATTTTAAATAGATTCATAATTTCCAAAAATCTTCTTTTTTTGGCTAATCAGTCACTCCCTACTAAGTGCTAAGTGCTAAATCGAATCTCAAAGATTCTACTACTCAATGTTGCTTAATCATTTCCTGAAGAACCCATTCACTTCAACGTCTTAACTCAAATCAGTTTAATCTGTGTATTTCTTGGGAAAGAATTGATTAATTTGTTAAACAATTACATAATTTCTAGCACAAGTTCATTGTCTGTGAGATAAATAAACTACAGGGTGTATGGTCATTGTTTTCATTTTTTGGGGATAAAATGGAGCTCAAAGACACAGTGATATAACACGTAGTATCAGGCCTTAAATAGAAATACAATACAGTACTTGTTGGTAAGATCAATAAAATCTTACATTTAATCTTTTCCTCAGGAATGCAGAAAGGAACGTTGTATAAAATCGCCTGACTTTTCCTTTTACCATTGTTGTCTGATTCCCTCAGGATTCTCACATACAGATGTTTCACTGCTATCACTGCTGCTTCACCTCACACTGTCTGGCACAAGACCAGTATCGGTAAATCTTTACCCTCCAGTGAATCTTCATACGAGCCAAAAATCCACCAACCCACAGAGTCAACAACAGCTCTGTCCTCTTTTCTTCTGCCATTTTCTGTTTTGTTTTTTAAACAGGCGGGGGCTTCCTGAAGCATAAACAACCTTCACAAAGCCTTCTTTTTCCTGAGGCCTCTCCAACCTGCTGCCCAGACCTGTTCACACAAAGCTCCTGCAGCCCTGACTGTAACTCAGGGCAGGAAACTCCAATCATGGCGTCTCGAAACATTCAGAAGATACTCGGAGGGAAAAGAACAACTAGGTTCACTTTGAGCCATTTTGCTGTAATCCCATAATTACAGTAGTCGTTATCATGACGCCATGTTTTCACTTTTTTGGCACTGTAATACTTATAGGGCAGTCCTGTGCTACTGTCAGGGCTTCTTAAAAATGCATCAGTTTACAGTTTAAGAAAATGATTAATTGCAATACTGTGAAAAGACAGGAATCAGTAGGACACCATCGTTTAAAGTTGTACAGTCAGAGAGTTAAAGCACATAAAAGTTTTTGACCATTATCAATACCTTTCATCACAAAATTGTGCCAAGAACCCAAGGTGATGTCTTCCAATAGCTTATTTTTCTGTGGCAGTCTGCACCTTTGACATATTTCAGTAAAGTGATAAAGCGTGCAGATATGAAACAGATGAGAGGAAGAAGAATTAAAAATACTTAATCGTCTACTCCAATCTGACATAGGTTGATCGTTCAGCAAAAATCTCTTTCAAACCTTTCGGCCACAGTTCATGCGCACAGCAGCCCTGCAGACCTGCTCCCTGTGGGCACCACATATAATACTTTAGGAAACAATTTTTCGGTATGCAGAGCTGGTAAACTTAAGAGTATCGTTGCATACTTGTATTTAATGTAGAGCTTAGGTGCATTAAATGTGTACTTTACAGCTGATGTATTATGCATGAAAACACAGTAAAGTTGACTGGGAACTTGGGTTGGCATACAATCAGATAACTGAAAATGGGCCAAGGGGAAAAACCAAGTTTGATTGGGACATCCCCAAAACTTATTTTCCTATGCACACCTGGTATTGAACAGAAGACAACTTTCTCTTCTCTAATTACATGACAGTATCACTAATACTCTCTGATACTTGGAAATGTATGCATCATGCATAAATATACAGGTAAAAGTAGATATAAGGAGAATCAAACTAACATTTAACCCCAAATATCTACTGACCATGACAGCAGATAATCCACAGAGGAGTTTAGCTCATTATGAAACTACATTCATGTTTTTAAACTTATCCTGCATGTCTTACAATGAAGCAAGCAGGTAAGGTTTCACTTTGACAGGACACTTGGCTGCAGACAGACTCACTGACAGATTAAGGGATCATACTTGTAATCACGCAATGAGAGAAATACTCAGTCCAAGCCTACAAGACGGGACATGGCGGTCGAGTTGTCAGCACTTCCTCTCAGTACCACCCAGCCTCACCCCTTAGAGGCGTCATAAAAGCGTCCCCTCAAAGCCCTCACACTGACACATGTACAGGTGGTCAAGGAGGCAATGACTTAAGTGTCCCACCACCAGAGCTGTCATCCAGGCCGAGGCACGGCAGCCTGAATGCCAACCTGTCACAGTGTTTTAGGATAATGAAGTGGCGTGCGGTAGCCGGACAGCTGCCATGATGCTAATTAGGAGATGGACATCAGAGGAAAGAAGAGGGGGTACAAAAAGAGTGCCATGGCCCATAATTTAATGGCTTAAAGATGCAATGTTCTCACAGCCTTGATATAGAGAAGGGTGCAGCAGAGGGTGAAAGGAGGGGTAATGAGGAGGAGCACAAATAAGCTACCTGTCATTCATAAGTCAGCTCACTCTAATGTTCAGTCCGAACCTCAGCTCATAGTTTATTTTTCTGTGGTTGTTCAGGTCCTAAGACGTCAATGTGAGAGTGACACGGTAGCTCAGGGCAATGATCATAAAAAATCAAAAAAATGGTAGATGGCACACATCTACCATTCCTTTCATTTTAGTCAAAGCATTGCAGGTGTTCGGTATCATGAGTAAGGTTTACTGCCTGGCTTTCCGTTTCTTCTGGTTCCAAATCAGCTGCAGCTGTTAATCTGCAACCTTTTGCACAAAAAGTGAAGGCAAAGGTTTAGTTGTTTCAAACCTTAGAATAGGGGTAGCACTGCAAACCTTCATACAAAGTATTATTGGGGTATCACCATGGATTGTATAAAGAGAGGGAAAAAAGCCAACATTGCGTTGAACATTTTTGCCATGGCCAACTTTTTCTGGAACAAGATATGAAAATATTTGGAAGAGGGTTGATAAGCATTGCTATGCTTCTATCCTGGTTGAGATGTATCGGTGATAGCAACATGTCAATCACAGGTAGCCACGCCCTGCAGCGTTACCCTGCTATATCAACTACTTACTTTGATCAGGGCCACATTCTACAAAACCTACATGTTGTATTGAATATGACTTGAAACTAGTGATTAGGAAAATGTTGACATTAGTTATAGGTCAAATGAATATAAGGTTACTCAAATGTGTATATTCAATTAAACTTCTTGTGGAAACCAGTCAACTCTTGCTGGCCTGCTTTGGCAGATGGCTGTTCACCAAGGAGGCCGGTTCTGTTCCAGCTTTCAGTCTGTTAAAATTAAATTTTCACTGCAATTTATGCCAAGAACTTGCGCATGGTGGATTATTGTTGGGTCTCTGTAACCAGTGAAGCAAAGAGTACAGTCTACACCTGCCCTGTCCTTGAAGTGTTGTTGGATAATATTTGTTTTTTAATAAAACTGACTGATGGATTTGAAAGAATACAAATTAAGGGCTCTGTTGCATTGACTTCATATTTGAAACTGGAGGCGACATCCTTTTATAAACATGAGATAGAACACAAAAAGTTAAAAAATATGCTGTTATAACGTCTAACAAGCAATTCTCTTATGGTTGGTAAAACCTTAAGTTTATCCAACCCCATTCCCCGTATGCAGCTTCTACTAGTTAACTGATTAAATTTACACATCAAACCTATGCCACATGAGTTCAAAACACAAACTCTGACATTGATTTATTGCCACACAGCTCTGACGCAAAGGGAGATCAGGTGCAAAGCATGACAGTATCATATCAGCCATCAGATGTGACTCAAGCCATTATCAATCTTTCTCGCTTTCAAGCCAGGCTGATCCTGAACGAATCTGGAGGTATTTTCGTAAAAGGGAAAGTTAGGTGCAAAAGGAGGCTTCAGGATTTGCCTTTATAGAGGCATATATTTCTTTGTTGGTGGTAAAAAGACAACAAAAGAGATGTCAACGGCGGGGAGGTGAGCCTTAACTCAGCTTGTATGAAAAGTGAGTCAACAACTAACAAAGCAAATGTGGCGTTGTCCTATCACATAGATTACATCCCTCAATTAACCTTTCTTCCTCCCAGCGGTATTGGGGGAAAGTGGCCAGCACAGCGTGTATAAACAGGATACAGCTGCAACAAAAGACGTCAGTGTGCAGGCAGGTTATAACCAAATTTGTTGGCACGGCTGGTTAATCTTACACCCTAATTCACTCATTTAACACACGCGCTACGACACAAGATATGTTCTCAAATGTTATGACAGGTTTCCATGCCAAGCCAACCGAAATACCACCTGTGCAATAGCTTATATTGATCTCTCATTCTGATTTTATAATGGTCATGTATGCACACCTACAATCTACAAGGGCCACTGAGTTCCTCTTGAGCAAATTGGATGGATGGAGACTAGATTACAGGACAGCCAACTGTCTTGCTGAACTTCATAAGTATACAACTGCCTCTTTCATGATGGCTTCTAATTTAATGTTCAGTGGTTTTGGTTATAGCAATTCATAGCTTCCTAGTTCCCCAAAAGTCCTGGAAGAAAAGTGATAAGCACTCCATTGCTTTACTGTTTGGTGGTTTATTGGTGGGAAGTTACTTAATTGTCATTTTTGCTCACTTCAGCTCATCTGGCCTCATGATGATGTTACTTGTTTGGTCCATCCATCTATTACTCGCATACTTTCCACAACCTATCTGCCTATCTATTGGCCGTATTGACATTTTCTGGTAAAAAAATATAAATTTCCAAGGAAGCAGTATAATTTGAGTTACCTTCTGATCTTTCCTTTGGCACAACTAGTTCTAGCTTTGGCATAACCAGTTGTTGTCATGGTTGCTGAAGACATTAATGCTCTTCAGAGATTCTTTCTTGATAAACTAACACAACCAACGTAGCCTCTATAGTTTAGTCCTTTACACCTGTTGACAATGTATATAACATAATTAAGTGACGAACCAAAACTTGCAGTGTGAACCATAAATATCTTATGGTGAAACCTGAAACACTGATATTGCCAGCAATTACTCTGAACTTGGCACAGTGCACAAACTGATGGCAGCGTAACCTTCCAGACAAGCCAAAATGTAAGACAAAACCTAGACTTAAACATTATCACATACAACTGTACTTTGATGTGTTAAGAGCAAGTTTAGCTTTTGAAAGCAGGAGGGGACTGAGTGCAAATCAGATAGAATGTGATAAAAAATAAAGTTTTTTATCTGTTACACTGTGTTTTATACATTACAGAGGGGTGATCCTTACCATTGCTGTGTGTTCCGTTGTCCCTGTCCCACGCCTCCACTATCACAGTGTAAGCTCTCTGAAACAGAGACACAGAAAGAGGGCAGAGGTTACCATGGTGCACACTTATAGAGTAGACAGCACTCAGAGAAACTCAGATGAGGCCACATCAAGGCATGGAAATGCACATTATTTGGCATTTACATAAGAGACTCAGATCTGACCTGCAATCACTCATAAACAGACACACGGCTGCTTTCACAACACACACACTCACATTTTGCATGAAAGGTGAGTAACGATGGGAAAATAAGTCTTGTTCCCACGCTGCTGTCACTGATTAGCTTCTATCTGCCCGAGGCTGGTTAACAAATGTTCTATCAAAGAACCAAACATTCACCTGAAAACCAACAGAACACATTTTTCATATTTCACCAGCCTGGCCTGATTCTTTATGATAACATGGTTCAGCGATACCAAATCCAGCTTTCCTCTGTCACCCCTAGATCAGGAAGAGAATTATTCCCTCAACCACCTTTTCTGTGACACTTTATTGATCCCAAAGGACGAAGAGGTTCATCCTTTCTTGACTCCACAGGGAGGTCAGAACCCTGTCAGGGCAGGGATTTGATGACTTGATGACTTGCTTAAGGGCACTTTTTGTGGGTAATGTATTGATTTCCAATGTGGGAATTCATTTTCCTGCCTTTTCCACAAGGGATTTCTTAAGAGTGGCTTTTGAGTCAAATGGCAGGGGAGACATTTGCGAGGATGGAAGCGATACTGTTTCTTGAAGAGCATAATGGCCTAAATAAAGCCTGTATCAGGTAGCTACTAAAGGAATTATATAAAAAAAAAAAAAAAATCCTAATAAGTGTCTTGGAATACTTGCTTTTTGTATATACATATTAAGGGCCACTTTGTAGGAATGGGACTATTACTCTATATATAGAGTAATAGATATTATCATTTCTGACCTCTGTGGTACAATAATCGAATTGTTGACCTAAACTTGGCATTTTGACTCACCACATTACCACTTCACGAGTCATGTATACTAGGAATGAGGGAAACATTATACAAAATAAATTGAAGACATAGATAGGGGGATAAAAGAAGAAGAAGACAGCAGTGACAAGAAGTGTGAAAAACATGATAAGAATTACAGTGAATAAAGGGGCATTTGTATTCCTCAGTTCATCAGAAATCGTGATGCATTATTGTAATACTGTCTTGCAATACATCAATTATCCCAGAATCGCTATATTGTGATAGAATTGTTGTCTTATCGTGGGTCTGACAAGGATTAATCATTTTGAGTTACGGCCGAAATGTTGCGGTTTACCCGAATGCCCAACAGTTGTCATAAAAATAAAGTGACATTAGGGTCCTTTCCAAATCTCTGAGCTGCTCATTGCATAGTCTAGATAGCAACCTGAGACTGACGAAATTGTGTTGGAGTTCAGAGATGAATCAACAATGTGATTGTTATCTTCACTCATATGCAGACACTTGTATAATTAGGCATTGGAATTGGTGGGTAACTCACAATACGAGTTATAATTCATGGCACATGACAACAATAATACTACGCTACACCTGTTCTATGATAACAATCCATTGCATGACAATCACGTAATATCTGATTAACTGAAGAATACAAAATGCCCCTAAAAAGGTAAAGTGTATATGTTTACTGCAATTTGGCTCCAGTTTCACCTCTTATCACTGTGGATACTATCTCACTGACTGCTTCGTCTATCAACTAATTTTTTGGCCAATTAATTCCATTCATGTTACCCTCATTCATGTCATAAGCACCACCATGTGAAGTCATGAAGTGGTGAGTCAAAATAATAATGGCATTACAGAACCAAAAACTACGATACACTATCAATTAATCTGTTTTGTCCCAACTCCTTGTACATATGAATTCATAAAAAGCTAAACTGTTGTTTGGTGATTGCCAATTCAAAGAGCTCTGTCTCCTTCATGCTGCACACAGACTCTTTTCCTCCATAAAATCTTATCACATTCAAATTAGCCTGTTCAATATTACTCAGAATACGAACTAGCAACCAACAGAAACTAGAACACTGATGTCAAAATCTAATCTTGATAAGAATACAAACATTTTAATTGTTATACAATATTCAGTGCTTTGAGTGTTAAGTGGTTATTGTGTGGAAAAGCCCAGCATGTCTGCACACTATGCCCTAGTTTCAAGAGGAGACAGACTCCGCCAACAAGCTCCAACTCTGAAATTGTTTCAGGTGCAAGGCATTTTTTCACGGGCATCAGCAAACAAACCAAAATGGTGCTCGCTGTCTGTCAACTGCATGGGGCCGGACGAGCAGCTGTGAGTTCCCATGACCCAAGTGTGACTCAGAGTGACTGAGGGCTGCAGGGAAGATTACAGGGGACGTTACAAAGTGGTGCTGGGAGAGATTAGAGGCAGAGGGAACACAGAAACACGAAACGAAAAGGTAGAGAGTTAAAGTCCTTTATGGCACTGCGCAGGTCATTTTATGGCGTTCAAATTTTGGGGTTGAGGAGTTCACAGGTTGGACGGACATGAAAAGTGATAAAGGAGAGAAAATCATGACACAGATATGAGACCATGTAGCCACAAGTATTTGGTGGTTGCTTCAGGGTGCGTTCACAACAAGCAGGTTTAGGGCTTTTGTATCCACATTTGGCAACATTTACTTCTTTAACTTTGTCTTTGATCAGTTAGGAAAAATGACAAACAAATAAAACTATCGGGACAGATGCATGAAAAATGCAGGACTTAACTGACATCATTGGAAGGCCTTTTGTTGTTAATTTTGTTTGCAAATACATTTTAGATTATTGTTTAATTTGGGGGAAAATCTCAACTTTGAGCTATTTTTCAGTTTCGCTCGTGTTACTTTTATTCCCAAACCATAGTTTCCTTGTAGTTTGGTACTGTGTGTGAACAAACATGAATCAAAGTGCACATAATCACATTTCTTTACTGAGATTTGAACCAATCAGATAAGCCGAAAAACCATTTCAAACATTTACAACTGAAATTTGGATGTTACAAATCTAATAAGCTCTTGGTAAAACCTTTCATTATAGAGTGTAGACTCCTCTCCAGCTTTACTTTTAAGGAGGTTTGAGTTATTCCCTGTGATATTTACTTGGCTGTTTTGGTTCTGAAGGAGATTATGCAGCTGATATGTTACAAAAGAGGGAACAAGCAGCAGGACAAGATCTCCCAATAAGACTTCATGATTCTGAAAACAAATTGGATCTTCATGAACTCGTGCGAACTGAAGTGCCTGTTCTACATCCCCTGTTAGTTACAATGTGAGGAGACACTCTAATGGTCACACAGTCTGTTACAATGGCAACAAAATGTGGGACACTGTATCCAGTAAGATTCTTTTCAGATTGTTTTTTTTAGCTGGAGTCTGCTTCCAGAAGGACAGAAATGCAATCTCATGTTTTAACCATCCTCTTCCCTCTGACAGTAAGAACATATTACACCATCAACAAGTGAGAGTCGGCCAAATCTGAGCAGTTACATCACCAAAAACAAGAACATAAGAACACTTTGGTCTGCAGTGACAGCTTCAAACTTTTCCTCTTCAAACTGAACTGCACTTAACTAAACCGTCTGTTGGCAGAGCTTCCTTCTTTTTACATCCTAAGACTATAAACTGAAGCAGTTCAATTCGCGTGGTTCTGGCAACATCTGAGGAACAGAACTCCAGAGGTGGGCCATAATGCATTGCCTCTGTTTCTTCTTTCATGGCTTCTTTCATGATTTCATATTTTCAGCTGGAGCTCAGGAGCTGATACTGATGCTAGTTTGAGGCACCTCCAAACAATGCCAACATCGATCTTGATAAGTCAACCAACAATATGTGAACAATCAGCCACAGCTATCTTACATTGACATGTAGCACTGATTTGAATACAAATAAAGCATACAGAAGTGGAAATGCAATCATATATTACTGCATACTATCCTGCAAATAAAGGCTCAAAGAGTCTTCCCGCAGCGCAGGTGTTTTAACTATTTTTCCACCTGACTCAGTTGTCTTTTTCTCACCCAGCACCCACGTTGTCTAAATAATCAGAATCAGAAATGACATACAGAAATGAGTTCTCGACTGACTTCCACACTCTGCCATTAGACAAACGGGGGGAGGACAGCAGCCTAAATTCACAATTTTTAGGGGTAAAACCGATGTGTCAACCTAGAAATGAAAAAAGCTGTTTTTAGATTTATCATGTCCCAGAATCAGAGTTTGAAGTCCTATACTGTATTCAGAGTACAGCATTACAGAAGTATATCAATTGGTTGGCACAGAAAGAAGGTGAGGGACCTATGATTAGTCAATTTATAAAGTGAGAGTCAGTGTTAAAAGTATGTTTAAGCCTTACTACAAGGAACTTAAAGTCACCAGGCATAAAACCGCAATTGAAAAAAGTATTTTCTCCAAACATTCTTAATCATAATCAGAAATCATGAAGACATCATGAGAAGATCTTGTCTACAGCTTTGGCACAAACATCAACAGCAGCCGCTTGACCAGACTGAGGCTCTTTCTCCATCAGCTGGAGATGACACAGCAGTGATTTATGAGCTCAGCGAGCAGCCATAACTCTGTAATGAGTGAAAATAAGTGGACATTATCATAATCAATCTTTCCCTTTGTAATCCATTTTAAATGTCACAGCCACCGGCTCCCAGACAGATGGGTCTGTCCCACGGCCTCAGAGGAGCCTGACATGAGTGTGTGTGTTTGTTAGTGTGTGTGTTAAACATATCAGAGTGTGTGACTAAACTCAAGTGTGCAGTTTGTGTCCTTGAAGGAGAGGAGCTGGAGGATCAAAGTGTCACGTCCCTGCTGTCTGCCGTGAGACGACCTTATGAGTCGAATCTGTGTGTGTGTGAGGGGTATGGGCTGGTGAGTGGGGGTGGGGACGTGTTAGGAGACACTTGACACCTCCTAACCAATTTACAGGAGTCAGAGGGATTTGGGTTTTCATTAGGCGAGGAGAAACCAGCCCACTCCGCACCGCCTTCACCTGTTCAATGAA